AGCGAGATCTATGGCAGTAGCAGTAGCAGGCAGGCAGCAGCAGCAGTAAGCAGCAGTAAGCAGCAGCAGCACCCGGCGTGGCGAGCGTGTGCTGCTCGCCGTACAGTGCTCTGCGCTCATCACGCCGCCCGTGCCGTGTGCTCCCAGTCTGCTGTTGTGGCCTTGGGCTCACGAAAGACGCCGCCGTCTCGAGGGAGCGACGCAAGGCGGTGGACGAGTCTTGCCGGAGCTCTCTCTCTCTCTCACCTCCCCACCCCCCATCACCAGCGCGCTCATTCATTCTCCGAGCAGCGTTTCGCTGGCAAAGTGAGAAAGAACATTTGCTTGTCCATTAATTTATTCGTGGATTTATTTATACTATCCGTGAATTGATGTATCGAGGCATGCCTTTCAGACGCAAGTCCTGGCTTTCGCGAATATCGCAGATCCACTTATCCGCAGGAGATGTTGTTGCTGTTGCAGATAAAAGAACGTAAAAGGGGAGGATAGGGCCGCGCATCATATGAATGTTCACAGATCCCGCACCTCCGATAAGCACGGTTGGCTACGTACGGTGCGAAAGAAGTTCAACGTATATATACACATGCATTCTACAGATCCCGCAGATAACAGGGTCGTGGATACGTGGAGTTCTGTAATTTATTTGAACAAAAAAAAATACGGTGCCTTTGGGGCCCTGTACGGAGTTTCAATCTGAGCAATCGCTGTTGATCCAGGAGGGTGCTGACCGCGGCAAGTAAGACGCGAGTGCCAATTCAGACTGGGGGGCTAACGAAAGCCACGTGGATGGCATCACATGGGAGCAGGTTGTTAAAGCAGGCAGAAGCCGCTGGCCGCGTGGGTGGATTGGTGTGGGTGTGTGTGGGGGGGGGGGTGTGTGCGGGTGTGGGGGTGTGTGTGTGGGTGGGTGTATGTGTGTATGTGTGTGTATGTGTGTATGTGTGTGTATGTGTGTGTATGTGTGTGTGTGTCTGTGTGTGTGTGTCTGTGTGTGTGTATGTGTGTGTGTATGTGTGTGTGTATGTGTGTGTATGTATGTATATGTGTGTGTGTATGTGTGTATGTATGTATATGTGGGTGTGTGTGTGTGGATGGTGGAGCAGCAACACGAGCTCTCTCGTGTTGCTGTTCAGGCGGCTCCTGAACGCTGACGAGGCGTGGCCCCTCGCGATTCCCGTGACTCGCCCGTCAGGACGCCACAGCGGGCAACCCGAATCTCGAAAGCGACATCTCGCAGACGACAAGGGGCCGTCCATAAATGACGTCACGCGATTTTAGACGATTTTTGACCCCCTCCCCCTTCGTCACACGGCGTCACAAAAAGTCAGACCCCCCCTCAAATATGACGTCACAAAGCTCTGCCCCCCCCCCAAATAAAACATGTTTCAAATCGCTTTAAACTATTGTCATTGTAGTGCGCATTTAATGTGGCGCTGCACTCTGATGTTGTAGGAAAAAACATTTATTAAAACGTCTATTTAATTAAGTAGAACGTGTTGTCTATATTTATTTAAAGTTGCGCATTTTGATGTGACGTCACATTTCTCACCCCCCCCCCCCCTCGTCACACATCGTCACAAATGTCTGACCCCCCTAGGTGCGTGACGTCATTTATGGACGGCCCCGAAGTCGTACACCGCACTTATCCTCCATTGGAACCTCATTTGCCAGTAAAAAATATGATAATTGGGTTTTTACCCTTTTATCTGGCAACAAAACTGACCTTTTTTACAAGGAGTCATGTTTGCATAGACCACAATACCTGCAGTCATAAGCCTAGTCCCACATGATGTTGGACCAGATGACGCCAAAAAGGCACCTTTTGGCGTCATCTGGTCCAACACCATGTGAGACTAGGCTCTAAGGAAAGCTGTCTCGGGTGTGGACCAATCAACTTCAAGGACAGTGCATACATGATCAGAGTTATGTTTTTTGTTTGCATTATGACTGCAGGTATTGCGGTCTATGCAAACATGACTCCTTGTAAAAAAAAGTTGTCAGTTTTGTTGCCAGATAAAATGGTAAAAAAACAATTATCGCACTTATCCTATTAGCCGGGACATTCGATAATAAACGCGCGCGCGAGCCAGTAAGGGTCTCGTGATTTGCCTTCTGCTAATTTCGTCGAGTTTGCTGGGGACGCTTAAAGAGAGAGAGATGTGCAACAGCAACGCCGCTTACATTGTACGGCGCTGTGGATGCGCGTGATTAGGACAGTGACAGAAAGCCGCTCGCTCGCTCGCTGTCACTCCCATCGCAATATCTCGTGTTGCGAGTCCTCCTGTAAGCAAATTTTCTCGTGGCCTTTAAGCCGCTCGCTGTTTGTATACCAACTGTTAACTTTTTTGTGTAAATGCCTCCAGTGTTACGTGTTGTGTGTGTGTTTTATTTTTGCTGCTTTCTGTGCTCGCCAAACGAACGGGCACGATGTTTGCTGTCGGGCTGAACTGGAACTTGCATTGACCACACAGCACGTGTCTAGAGAAATGGTGGGTGGTGGTGGTGGGTGGTGGTTGTGGTGATTGTGGTGGGTGGTGGTGGGTGGTGGTGGGTGTGGGTGGTTGTGGTGGTTGATGGTGGTGGTGGTGCTGGGTGGTGGTGGGTGGTGGTCGGTGTTGGTGGGTGGTGGGTGTGGGTGGTTGCGGTGGGTGGTGGTGGATGCTGGGTAGTGGTGGTGGGTGGTGGTGGTGGGTGGTGGTGGGTGATGGTGGTGGGCGGTGGTGGTGGCTGGTGGTGGTGGGTGGTGGTGGGTGTGGGTGGTTGTGGTGGGTGTGGGTGGTTGTAGTGGGTGGTGGTGGTGGTGGGTGGTGGTGGTTTTGGTGAGTGGTGGTGGGTGGTGTTGGTGGTGGTGGGTGGTGGTTGTGGTGGGTGGTGGTGGGTGGAGGTGGGTGGTGGTGGTTTTGGTGGGTGGTGATGGGTGGTGGGTGTGGGTGGTTGTGGTGGGTGGTGGTGGTGCTGGGTGGTGGTGGGTGGCGGTCGGTGGTGGTGGGTGGTTGTGGTGGGTGGTGGTGGGTGATGGTTGTGGTAGGTGGGTGGTAGGTGATGGTGGTGGGCGGTGGTGGTGGCTGGTGGTGGTGGGTGGTGGTGGGTGTGGGTGGTTGTGGTGGGTGGTGGTGGGTGGTGGTGGGTTGTGGTCGGTGGTGGGTGTGGGTGGTTGTGGTGGGTGGTGGGTGGTTGTGGGTGGTGGTGGTGGGTGGTTGTGGTGGGTGGTGGGTGGTGGTGGGTAGTGGTGGTGGGTGGGTGGTTGTGGGTGGTGGTGGTTGTGGGTAATGGTGGTGAGTGGTGGGTGGTGGTGGGTGGGTGGTGGTGTGTGGTGTGTGGTGGTGAGTGGTAGTGGTGAGTGGTGGGTGTGGGTGGTGGTGGGTGGTGGTTTTGGTGAGCGGTGGTGGGTGGTGGTGAGTGGTGTGTGGTGGTGAGTGGTAGTGGTGGGTGGTGGGTGTGGGTGGTGGTGGGTGGTGGTTGTGGGTGGTAGTGGTGGTGTGGTGGTGGTGGGTGGTGGTGGTGTGTGGGTGGGTGGTGGTAGTGGTGGGTGGTGGTTTTGGTAGTGGTGGGTGGTGGTGTGTGGGTGGGCTGCCACAGCCACCACCACCCAGCAGCCACCCTCCGCGGGCACGATCTCGCGAGAGCCGCCGCCAGACCCAGACTCGCAGCGAACTCCCCTCGAGTTAAACCTCCACTATCAGTGGCGCCTTCAGCAGGAATGTCTCCCTCCCTCCCCACCGATACCCGCAGCCTCAGCAGCCTTGCCCCCACCCTCCACACACTCACCCATCCACCAACCACCACGGGCTGGGTGGGGTGGATGCGATGTGGCTGGGTGGGTGGGTGTTGGTGGTGACGCCACAAAGACGCCGGTCCAATGGAGCCCCCCCCACTCCTCCCTCTGCCCTATCCGGGGAGGAGGCTTAGCCTGGTGGTGGTGGTGGGGGGGTGCCGGCCGGCCTCCGCGATGCTAATGCGCCGGGAGGGGAGGCCGCGCATTGGCCGGGGCTTGCGCGGCGTGCGAAGTGGGCTGGTTCCATACCTCCTCTGGGGCGGCTTTTGTCTGTCCCGAGCAGCAGCAGCGGCGGCGGCGGCTGGCGGCTGTTGGCGTCTCTCTGTGCTGCTGGCGGCAGGAGCGGGAGACGTCGCCGCACCCGCCACGCTCGGCTCACCCGTACAGGTAACCCACCCCCCCCTGCACCCAGCCAGCCAGCCACCTCGAAGGGGGTCTCCCCCCCCCCACACCCACAACCCTCGTTCATTCCCCGCAGGAACGCGCCGAGGCAGGGAAGAGGTTCGGCCTTCGCTTGCCTCGTCCGGCACACTCCGTCATGCGCTGTGGCTTTGTCTGGCGCTTTAAATGCCCCCCCCCCCTCCTTTGTTTCCTCCCTGCCGCTCCGTTTCTCTACCCCCCCGCCCGCCCCCCCCACTGCACAACAGTCACAGGAGGAGGAGGGAATGAGTGGTCGCAGCTGGGCACAATTGTTGTGTTTCGCGTCGTTCCGAATGATGTTGCCCCTGTGACTGGATAAGAAACGTTTAACAATTCTCCCCGGCTGACTTCGTGTAACGCTGCATGGACACACGTTGTTCCAATTGGCACTTTATGCGCCGGCAAGCAGACTGTTTTCCATGCCATGTATGGACATCCTGCCACCGGTGTGGGGGGTTTTTTTTCTTCCAAAAAAAAATATTTGGGGGGTGCCTGATGTTTTGCGACATTTCGCGCGGTGATCTCAGAGTGCCCGACTTCCCGGTAACATTTAAATGCCGAGCCGCGAATCTTTCGGATGAGTCATGTGATCCCGTGTGCAGGATCAGCAGCAGCGGCGGAACAGCTGACGCTACAGCTCGTGCACCCAACTCGTGCCGCCTTTCGAGGTCCGTGCGACGATGCGGTGGCACCGCTGCGGATGGATCGTGCCCCACACGGGCGCCACTCGTTGGTCGGCGTGCGCGATCCTGTGCAGGAAGGTGGTCATGGATTATTGATGATCGCTTCTCATCTCCAGGCGGGTCTGCTCTCTTGCTCTCTCTCTCTCTCCGGCCACTTTGACGATCCGCGCAGGAGGGGAGGAGGCCAACGACCCTCCCGATCAAGGACACTGCGCGCCCATTCCCTCGAGAGTGGCTCGGTTCCTGACGGCAGCCTCATAAATAAAGGCCTCTCTTAAAAACCAAAACGAATTGACGAGTGTCTTCGGGCACGGGTGGTGTAATTGTAATCGGTCCCAAAGCCTAAATGTTCGGAGCTTAATTTTTAATCGTACAAAAGTGCATTTCCACTTAAAATTGTGGGGAATTTCCATCGTGTTTTTTATGAGAACGGGTATCTGTGAACAGTTGCCATCAACAAAAGCGAACCTCTCCAGCGGTGAAGTGAGAATGGCCGGTAATGAGTACAGTATTCGGCAAAAGACGGCAGATTGGCAGAGGTCATTTGTGGGAACATTCCTGGAGGGGTGAGCCTCCCTCTCCCAAGGGCCATTTAGCCCGCAGTGTAAACACCGCTCAGATGGGTGGGAATAAGTGGAGGCACCCTTACTTTACTCGCTGCCACGAGAAATCCATCCGCCACCTTAATGTGCACATGGCAAGAGGCTGCGCCTAATGATGGCACATGTCGAGAGGGAAAGTGCTTAAGATGGTGAAATCTAATGGCGCAATCGTGGACAATGTGGCACCAACCCATGTCAGAGGAAATGGCACAGGGTTAAGGGTCACACGAGATTATTGTGAAAATCTGAATAATTCTCACGTGTTAAACATTTCTGGTCGTTCTAGTCATGCGTCGCATAAGAGTTCCTCCCATCTCGACTCATCTGCTGTAGAGGCAAGTGCTGTTAGCAAGCGCACGTTAAGGCTAGCATGGCACAAGACGGGGTAGCGACACCATTATCCCGTGGCTTGCAACGTTCTCGTCTCCCCAGTGCTGCTGTTCGCACATCACACCGGCTGTTCACTTCAACAGATTCTTTGGTGATGCCGCATTGCCAGCGGTGCACAAGCACAACCAGGTAGACTCATTTAAGTCGACCTATTCGAGACGCACCAACGTGTTCAGATGGCATTTGCCACCGAGGCGCAATGGCCAAGAACATAACCCAGGTGTTCGACATTACAAACGTGGCGTGTGTTCGAACCGCCACTGCTCACTGCACATTTGTACAAAACAAAGATCTGCTTTATATCCGCCGCGGTCCATTGGGGGCAGGCAGGTGCTGTTGGCAAGCGCGGGACGCAGGGCGATACGCCGCCGGTATGGCCAGCGGCGTGTCTCCCACTGCTGCTATTTGCTCGTCGTGGGCGAGCACCGGCTCGGATTCCACCCGCCGCCGCCGCCGCTGTTGCACGCAGGTCGCCGGGTTCGCGACGCAGCGCGGTGCCCACTCTGCCACCGTTTACCCAGCACGGCCTTATTTTTTTGTATTTTGAGAGCACGCAATCGTACAAGAACGCATAAACACACAAGCCCCGAAGGCAGCGGGGGGCCATGGCCCGGCAACACACGTGTGTGTGCGCGTGTGTGTGTGTGTATTGCAGCGCGTGTACAGTGCGTTTTTGAATGAGTTTATTCTTAGCACAGGAAGACGTTGCGGTGGCAGTGAGAGGGAGGCTCGCCGGCCTGCGTGGGAGCCTCGGCTTGCGGGCCGATGGGGGGGTCACCCGCTGGGGTGGCGAGACGGCACCTACGGAACTGGTTCTGGGTTTTGCTCCCCTTCCCCACTTGTGCGTCGTCGAGGGTGGCCTCTTTGAACACGGGCAGATTTCGGGTTTTCTTTTTCTCTCGACGTGAGGGTGCAGCTGTGGCACATCGGTCACCCGAGGTTCAATTCCTAATCACGGCTAGCATCAGAGGGTGGGTACTGATGTCTGAACCAGTTCTGGGGTTGACCCCTCCACCCTCCCCACACCCACCTTCACGAAACAGCGCTAACCAGTGTCGTGAATTATGGTCGGGCAACCGCCCGTGACAGGGCGCAGGGACACATTTATCCAGCAGTGGATTGATGGAAGGCTGTAAATTTTTTCACGTTTTTTTTACTCTGTCCACAGAGGCCAAAAAGACACCGAGTCCCGTTCCCAGTGCTGTCAGCGCGCACGGCACTCTGCGGCTTGCCCGAGTTGCGTTCGCGCGGACAATAATTCACTGTTCTCGCTGACGGGCGATCCTCCAGGGGGCAAAGAACGCGTTTGATTTCAGATCAGAACTTTGACTCCATTCTTCCACCATAAGACTAAACATTTATTTCTTAAAAAAAAAGTGTTTTCAACCTCACGTGTAGCTGCCGAAACAACTGCGGCTTATCTTAGGAACATTACGCGCTGGACGTTTCTTCTCCGCCGCAGCCACAAAGCGTGTCCGTGCTCGTCGGCGCAGCGATCGCCAGGCGCGAGTGGTGCAACTGCACGGGTCGGAAGGAAGCCCAGACACCGGGCAGCGCACAGTGAGCGGGGTGGGGGGGGCAGGGTGGACGAGCTTGCACCAGAACGCGTGCCAAGCGACGCTACGCCGCTGCGTCTGAACCGAGCCGTCGGAATGACGCGAATCGGCAAAATGTGTGAGTCGCGATGCCACTGACGGCACTGACAGTGCCGAGCGTTGCTCAGGCTACCGTGGTGCTCACTTAGAGGCCTGCTGCTTTCACTTGCTCTCTCAAGAGGTGGGGGGAGGGGGGCGTCATATTGCAATTGCAAAGTATGATATGCGATTGTGTTGAAGCGCTTATGATCTGATTCGTATCATCTGCATCTGCAGCCCCATTTCTGCAATTTGATGTGGGGGGTGGGGTGGCAAATGGCCAGATTAGCGAAAAACTGCAGGAAATTGTCCACATGTCAGTGGAAACGGCCTTTCCGCTGACTCAAGATTTAGGCCCCTTATCTGCATCCCCAGGACTCTGTTCTGTGTGTAAGCGGTGGGAACAGATAAGCGGACAGGATGATGCACGCGCGCACACCACGCAGTCTGCTGCCTCCCCATCACCTGCAGTCGACGACACTGGGGTTCTGGCCTCGAGTCCTCTCCTGGCTGCTGCTGTTCGCACCGCCCAGCGGCTCTCATTCATCTTACTGCACTCGGGGCCACATCTAACTCATGTCACAGGGCCCCGCGCATCTCAAAGAGCTCCCCCGCGGAGTTGCGTTTCGTGCGCACTGCACGACACGACGCCACGCACACTGTCTATTATTTGACAGAAAAATGCTCTGTCTCGTCGCCTCCTCCTGACGCACGTCTCCGCTGTACGGCGTCTCCTAACGCGGCAAATAAAAATTGCAATTTTCGCTAAACGAGGATCCTATGAGACTCGGCATTCCTCTCGGGAATGAGACCTGAGCCTGAAAACAAAGGAAATGATTATTTAATTAAAAAAACTGGCCAAAGGGAAACTGTTTTTAATCGTGTGATAATGTATCTGGACGCTTGCATGGAATGGATAATTATTTGTGGGCACAGTATTGCGCTCGCGTGGGAGCGTATTGGCTGCAAAAGTGGTGATGGCCTAATTAACAGAGCTGCAGAATTGGACGACACGAGACGGCGCATCTGGGAACGTTTCCCTCGCAAGAGCGATGGGCGCTCCCCGCTTCACAGGGAAGGGTTTCGGAGAGTGTGGCACAGGGCGGGGATATACGCAACGTCGCAAACTTCTCAAGTAAATCTCGTGCCAGGATCAGCGATACATTCGGAGGAGGCTGAGCCTTGGATGAAAATATATTTCCGATCAAGCAAGACTTTCAGATGTGTGATTAATAATAATTATTATCTTTGGGCAAATAAGATGGAGCAGAAAATTGGGATAATAGATGCAAGTGCTGCCCAGGCAAGTGGCATCGGTGTGGAGTTGCTACATCTATAGATTATAAATAAAATCGGTGGGGTATCAGGTGGAGGGAGGAAGCCAATGGACCACGAGCTAGGAAGAACCCCAGACAAGCGGTTAACATACCTTCTCTGCGTGTATATGAAACTCCACTCATCCACGTGTACACACACTGTACTAAGACACACAGATATGGCTTCAGCATAAGGATCGGTGGCTATTGGTTTGCGATGAATTTTCTGCTGCAACATCGGTCCCGCTCCATGGCAACGGAAACATCTTCACGGTCACCGCTGCACTCTGCGTGACGAGGCCGTCCCGGGGTGTCGTCGTCGTCGCAATTCTCAGCGCTGCTCCTCCTTCCTCCGCTCCTCATCGCCGCCGCTAATCACTTCTCGGTGCCGCTAATCATCGCGCCTTCAGGCCGCTCGCAGGTCTCTCTCGATGCTCAACACGCCACGGTGGATATTCGGCGGCCACGTATCCCCAGTAGGGCACGACGGGGATGTGTTTTGGGTTCATGATGCAGGCAACCATCGTGGCTTGTTTCAAAAAGGAAGTTTTACATCTCTGCTCTCTGTGCGACCCGTGGCCTTTGTCAAACATGTCGGCGATCGTGGCATTCCTTCCATTAACGCTCTCTCTCGTTGATATTTACCCAAGAGCTTTGCATCAGATACCGCCAGTTGCAGCAATTGTCAAACTGTTTTATGTATTTCATTTGCTGTCATGCCCGGCTTCTTGTTCGTCATATTTTCCTGTGTATTTTTGTTAATTGTTACGTGTAAAATACTTCATAAATCCACGCCCGTGGCTGGATTACTCACGACGCCTGTTATCCGTGGAACCAATTTGGTGGCGGATCCTTTAATCTGCAATCCTCTCCTTCCCATTATCCGTGATCATCTATGACTTGACCTGCTGCTCATTGCTGAATGGTGACCTATTATATCTGCAACATTATTTGCGGATAAATGGATATGATCAGCAGAGACGTTCTCTTATCCGTGGTTTTCCACGGTGTTTTCTCAAGGATACGGTCGCGGATAACCTCACGGATAAACCGGATTAACGGAGGTTTACCCGCCCACAACAAAGCGGATAAATGGAGTTCTGTCCATAGATGCACATTTAAAGCTTGCTTTTTTTCTCTGTATTAGCTTCCACAGTTCAAATAACTGCACACGTTTTCCGCAATTTCTGTCTTAATCATTTGTCCCACTTTTTCTCTACACATTGTATTTACTTGCAAACAGGTTGCTTGGTGTCGGTGGGCTCCCATCTGGTCAAATCAAGTGAACCGACTCACCGCTGTTAATTCTGAAGACATTTAGCCTGGGTACGCAGTTGGTCAACAGTTCTCTTTGACAGATGCCCGGTGCAAAGCAGCACAACTCTTGGCCCTGGATGTGATTGAGGCTGGCACAAGGAGGGAGGTTGCAGAGGAGTGGGGGGGGGGGGGTCAGGTTTTGTTGTGCGTGTCCTGGGAGAGTTGGCGCAGGAGGCGTGTGTTGTTGTTACCCGTGTGCCTGAATGGTTTCAATCGGAATGTTTCCTCTGGGACTTTTTTAATTCGCAACAAAAAAAAACTCCCGCAGGAAACACGCGACGAGTGTTGAGTGCGTGGACTGGGCCGTCCGCGAGCCACGCTGCGTCCGTGGAACCGATTTGCGCCGATCAAGGCCGTTGGCGCGTTTCGGGGTTGGGAAACCCGGCTCTGGCGGAGCCGCGTGCGGCACGCCAGAGCCGCCCGCACAGAACGAGCGCCGCCTCTATTTTAGAGATGCGGGCAGGGGGGGGGGCGCAAGGTTTCCCAACGGCAAAAATAGCTGCAGACGTTACGATAAGCGAAAGGGGTAGTGTAGTGAAGCGTCTGAGTTGCACGCTTGTTGTTTATTGCTTGTTTTTGTTGTTTATTGTTGTTGTCTGGAACCCCCACACCATTGTGCGGACGCAGAGTCGATGTCTCTTTGGTCTCTTGATGGTGTGGGGTGGCCACCTGTCCAGGCTTCACCCACAGTCGGGGGAGTTGGCATCTGTTGTTTTCGTGGCACGAATTTATTTGTGCTGAGATTTGGTGGTATTGGGTGGAGCGTTTTTACCGTATACTGCGAGTTCCTGATAGCTCTAGGCTCATCGAGAAACATGTCCACGATTGGTCTGCGCAAAAGGTGGCAACCCTTGCAATGACCAGGTCTTCACTCGGCATCACCAATCGCGTGGCTAAATGACCTAGATTGAGATGCGGTGGTATTCTATCCATAGACAAACTTGCCCTTGCCATATGAAAGCGGAATTTTCACTGTGGCCACGTGCTGTAAACAGGAGATGAACACCGCCTCCACGCTTGCTTGAGCAGGAAATCACGGCTTGGCTTTCATTCAAGCTCGGGCACACACACCACAATTGGCGGTGTTCGGCTCGCGAGCCGGTCCACGTTCGGCGAGACGGGGGCACCGGTCGGACCCCTCGTGCCTTTCCCACTGAGATTTCCGGTCAGTTCGATGCGAAATTGAGACAAAATAACATTCAGAGTCGTTCCCCCCCCCTCCCCCGCAGCGTAAGCTCACCGAGAGAGGCCACCGATCCAGTCGGGGGGACTGAACGCAGCCGTTACCCTGCGGCGGCGGCGGTAGCGGCATCTGCTCCTGATGGCAGTCAGGGCTCGACACGAGCCTGCAACGGGCCGCTGTTGCAGACTGCACGCTGAGACAGCGCGCGCAGTCTGCCCCGCAGGCCACGGGGGATGTTCGTGTGACCCCCCCTCCCTGCCTCCATCCCTGCCTCCCTCCGCCACCTGCTGCGCCTGCACCTGCCCCCAAACATCCTGGCTGTGTGCGAGCCACCCCTCCCATTGTGCAGCCTGCCTGCTCGTACACAGGGCGCGTGCCGAATGATGGATTCAATATTCAAATGAGCAACTCGAATTCCACACCTTGTTCAGAGCACTGTTGGTGGTCCTCGACTCGGGGTGGAAATTCCTCCTTCGTTTTAGAGCCGTGACCCAGACTCGACTGTCTGTTTGACCGTACTTCACCCCCGCGGGTGAGTGCGAGATTTGGTGGCGATCGCGCGGAATCATTGCGGTTGTCACTGCTGACGTTAGCCGCCGTGGCTGAGAATCCTACCCGGTGGCAAGCACCGCTCGGAAAGATTCAAGCCAAAAGTGTCTCAAGCGAGTACGGGGGACACGGTCTATCTCCGTCGGCGGTTCTGAGCCGGCGGTGGAAATTCCACATTGCTATGCCTGGAGTCCCTATGCAGCACATGACGGTGCACGCGTAATGCCGCGGGTCGGGTGGCTGGTGGCGGCTGTTAACGGCGGGCGCTCGCTGTGCGATATCCCGGCAGTGAGCGGCGGCTTCTGCGGCGGGCGGCCCACGCGGAGCCACGATGAGTGAGGTGCTCAAGAGGAAGTTCGAGGAGGTGGAGGGCGACTCCCCGTGCTCCTCCTCCAAGGACTCGGAGGAGGAGCTCTCGGGCAGCGAGAGCGTCGACAGCGGAGACAGCGTCAACCCTCCGGCAGACACGCACTTCACACGTGAGGCCCCTGCATGCACCGCTCCCCGCCCTGTCGCTCCGCTTCCAAACTCCCGCCGATCCCCGTGATCCGCTTGATGACACCGCTCCCGGCGGTGGGCCAGCGGCCAGCGCGTTCGCCGGTCGCTCGCCAGCGCCTTGGGGTGGCTCGTCTGGCTCGGCGCCTGCTGGCAATCCCAGGGACCCGCGATCGCCGTCGCCGTCATCGTCGCGGGCGTCGTTTGTTATTCGCGTAGCATTCGGACAAGATAAGTCTCTTCAGCGCAACGTTATTCTGTCATTATGGGAACGTGACTCGTTTACCATTTTATTGATGAGCCTGTGACTACCGTCACCTGGAGCGCACCCCCGATCTCATCGGATCTCAGAAGCCTTAGCAGGGGTTGTGCTTGGATGAGTGATGATCGCCATCATGCCCACGAGCTTGTCGTGGGGCTCAGCTATGTGACGGTCGGCAGAGGGCAGCGGAGTGTTACGTCTGTGCTCACCCCCCCCCCCCACCTTCACTCCTCGGTGACCGGCGTGGTGAAGTATGGTCAAATAATCTCGACGACTCGCACGTCCCCCGTAGGGACGCGCTCATCCACGAGCAGGTTGCCGAGGGGGCCGGACGTGCGCAGAGATTCTTATTAGCGATTCGCGTAATCCGCTCCCGAACTCCGTGTACCCATCGGTCGCAAGCTGCGTTTTCAATAAGTCACTGACGTGCGTTGTTGAGTAAGCGGGCAATCGATGACTCACGGCCGTGACAATAACAATGAATTTGTTCTTAATGCACCAACGACGTTTTTGCTGCAAGGAGTTCCTGGCGAGGGGCTGTGGAGCGCTGCCAACCACACACAGGGGCGGAGAGAATCATCGTTTCCCGTTTTGTAAACGCCCCCTACGTTCGGAAGTGAGCAGCCAAGCGGCGTCGTCTCTCTGCGCAATCGAACCTCGTAGGCGCACCCTTTACCAATGGCAGAGCCAGGGTTTTCAGGTAGGGGGGGGGGGGGCAACCCCTCCAGCAATGAAAAATGATAGTGGAGTTGTTAGTAAGTAAGGACTTGTCCCTTGCTTTTTATTCGACGCGCGTGCGGCGACAGCGCAGCCATCGATCGAGGGTCGAATTCGAACCGCGTCGTGTGATCGGCATCGCGCTCGCTGAAGGTGCTGATGCCTTCAGGGAAGTCGTGCACTGTATACGCAACTGCGCACAATTCTGAGTCACTTATAACTGCTTTGCCGTTACTTATTGCCAATTATGGACTCAGACTATTGTCCTATCATCTCATAGAGTCCCTGGCATGTAATAATATGCTACACAGTGGCAGTGGGGGTCGCAAAATACCGATGTATTACTAATAAACCCCAATGATCTTATCGAAATTAGGGATTTCGATTGGATCATTGGGGGGGCAAGTACCACCTCACCCCCCCCCCCCCCCCACTGGCTCCGTCAGTGCCCTTTACAAAGCTTCACCTTCTCTCATCAATTCAAGTTCGGAGTAGTGTTGCCTTATCTAAGGTACATAAAAACCGGGACATAGCTACGGGAAGAAGACTGCCTCGCAATCCTCGAAGATGGCAGCACTACGTGTGGAGTGGTGCGTCGTTACACAACTGACAAAGCCAGGAGATTAAATTATTAACGCCCCCGGAAAGACATGCTTCTCAGGGCAGCCGTCTCAACAAAAGGATAGTCCTGGGAAAATCGAGGCAGGTGGTGATGCTCACCTCCGATGAGCACGGTTGGCATCGTACTGTGTGAAAGAAGTTCTACGTACGTACGTACACATACGACACCCTAGTTCGAAGCCGGGGGTCACCGGGAGGCACCGTAGCGTGACGCGGGGTGACGCGCTCGCTCGTTCGTGATGCCGGCGTTTACTCCGCAGCCTCCTCCATCCTGCACCCGCCAAAGCGTCAGCGCGGCAAGAGCGTGCGCTTCGGCCAGGTGACGGTGTTCCACTTCCCGCGGCGCCAGGGCTTCACCAGCGTGCCCAGCCAGGGCGGCAGCACGCTGGGCATGGCGAACCACCACGACCACGTCGCCGTCTACTCGCTGGGCGAGTTTGCGCGCGAGCGCGAGAACGCGCACCAGCACGTGCTGCGCCAGCACCTCAAGGAGGAGAGGCTCAACGCCCTCCGCATGCAGGTACGCGTGCGCCCGCGCACGTTGGGACTTATTTTCGCGCCGTACGTAGCCGACCGCACGGGTCGGAGGTGCCGGGGAAAGGCAATGGCTGAACGCGCAAAAGCGGTTTTAAAGAAATTAGTTTGTCGATGTGGATGATGTAAAAGTGCGCAACTCCAGTGGCTTCCTGACATCGGAAGAGCATTCCAGACGGCCGCAGGAGCCGCGTCCGAAAGCGACCGTCGAGTGAGGCACTGGGGGCGGGCGGCACAAGGGGGGGAGGGCAAGGGGGTGGGCGAGGGGGGAGGGCGAGGGGGGAGGGCGAGGGGGGAGGGCAGGGCGAAGCCTGTGGGGGAGGCTCAGTGGGGGGAGGCTCGGGGGGGGGGGGGCAGCAACTGCTGCTGCTTTCGCTCGTCTCTTCACAAAACGATCTCGCCCACTCGGTGATCGGCACGAGAGATGCACAGGCACCGTTTTATTTTCTGTTTGTTTGTTTGCCAGGAAAGCCTCACCGAGTCTCGTGACTCTTGCTGAGCTTCATAGCTCATCGGATTTCTCCATTATATTTCTTTGTCAGGAGGGTCCTGCCGAGTTTTAAAAAGCAAGGAGTGATTATTGCGACCGTATTATGAATTGAGTAACGTGGTAATTTAAAAAAAAAGTTGAACCGTGGCGTTGTGCACGCAGTGGCCTGCTCTTGTGAATCCCGTCACAGGATCGTTAACGTCCACAGCGTAGCAGGCAGCGCGTAGCATTTATAAGATTAATGCGCATCGCGGTATTACCCAGGGCGGCCGCTGGAATTCGAACCGTCGCGCTTGGGCAAGAACGACGAGCGGCGTCGCCTCGAGGGTGGCTCTTCAATGCGCCCGGGCGTACGGTGTTACAGTGTACGTGCGTTGAACTTCTTTCGCGCCGTACGGGGTCAGCCGTGCTCACCGGAGGTGCGGGGGAGGGGTGGGGGAGGGCAGGACGACGAACTAAACGCGCAGAGAAAAAAGAAATGAGCAAGTCGACAGGAGCCGGGTGGGGTGCTGTGTGCCGCCCCTCCACTCCCGCATCGACGGGCAATGTGGATCAACCAGAAAGCGAATCGACCGACGTAACCACACCGAGCGTGCGAATGAAGAGCCCGGCACGAGAGCGTGCTTCTTCGCATGGCAGAGAGAATGTCCAAACACTGCGTGTGTGTGGCCAGGCAGCACAAGCGCTGCTCCGGCAGCAGCACAAGCGCACGGTGGAGACAGTCACATGGCAACAGCAGCTGACGGCGCGGAGGGGAAGGGGCGGTGGGAGGAGGGGGGGGGATCGGTCCGCAACTGCTCACCCATCCCTCCCTCCCCCCTCCATCTCGGCCGAGTGTCACGACCTTCAACCCCAACCCGGCACCCCAAAGACAAAGGTCCCCCGTGTCGCCTCGACAGACTGTAGGGGGGGCAAGTGCTGTTAGCGAGCACCTGGGAAGGCCGGCACGGCACACGAGGGGGTGGGTGGCCAGCACCACGCCCGGCCACCTTTGTCTCCCCAGTGGCGATGTTTACACACCACACCGGGTACTTATTTAAGGCAGAGTCGACCTAGGGGAGGCCCAGGACCGTCACTGGTGTTGGTCGCGAGCGTGAATCAGAATCTGAATCTTAATTTCGACTGCAGGAGGAATCCGATGAGCCATGAAGCTCTTTGTCACAGAGGCGCAGTGTGGGCGGGTCAACGAAACTGAACTGGGGTCGCCGGGTTCGTAACGCAGCAGCGTGCTCACCACTCCGTCACTGCCCACCACTACCCCCACCCCCACCCCTACCCCCCACCACTACCCTCCACCCCTACCCTACACCCCCACCCCCCACCCTACCCCCACCCCGACCCCTACCCCCCCACCCCCACCCCTACCCCCCACCCCTACCCCCCCACCCCTACCCCCCATCCCCCACCCCTACCCCCCATCCCTAACCCCCACCCACCCTACCCCCATCCCCACTCCCACCCTTACCCCCACCTTACCCCCACCCCCATCCCTACCCCCCACCCCTACCCCCCACCCCTACCTTCACCCCAATCTCTACCCCCACCCCAATCCCCACCCTTACCCCCATCCCCACCCCTACCCCACACCCCTACCCCCACCCCAATCCCTACCCCTCATCCCCACCCCCCACCCCTAACCCCCACCCCTACCCCCCACCCATACCCCCTACCCCCCACCCCCTACCCTTACCCCCCACCCCCGTGGGAGCAGCTGACGCAGAACGGCACGCAGGACTGCGACCGTGCCCGCGCCCTCACGGTGGAGGACATCCCGGACGAGGAGGTGGACGTGCGGGCCGTGCAGGTGGACGACTACTTCTTCCTGCAGCCGCTGCCCACGCGCAAGCGGCGCGCCATGCTGCGCGCCTCGGGCGTGCGGCGCATCGACGGCGACGAGAAGCAGCAGCTGCGAGCGATCCGCGTGTCGCGCGAGGAGTGCGGCTGCGACTGCCGCGCGTACTGCGACCCCGAGACGTGTCCGTGCAGCCAGGCCGGCATCTCCTGCCAGGTGATGCCCGCGCCCCCATTAACCGCACCAACGCCGGCGCCGAGATTCACCGCACCTGCTGTCCCCGTGCCGCGCTCCGATGAATCGCAACCGCACCACGCTGGGATGAGCCACGCTGCGATGAGCCACGCTTGAACCGCGATGGGCCACGCCTGCAACACGCCATGCTTTGACGTGCGGCCAAAATAGCCTCTATGTGACTTTACCGAAAAAACCTAAGAGTATGAATCCTTGCAGTCACGAAAGCCTCAAATCTAGCCTCTCGGAGGCTCGTTTGGCTGGTTGTGGCGTGAGCAAGTGACAGCACGGCTGCTCCTTTACATTTACCTATAACACCACACTCTGACGAGCTATACCACGAACCCACGCCAAACCAACGCCGCTCACAGACAAACCGCAAAGGTGATGCACACATGGGTGCATTGTAGGATCGGGTTGGCAGATCGCACTGATTGGAAAACACTCAAACCATCACCCTGGCCTGCTGCTCTTGCTCATGTAAGAACAGCAAGTGGGTTAATGAACCCATCTGTGCAGACATTTGAGTTTATCCGCTGGTACGTTGTGGGTACTCTCCGAGCTCTTCGCTTTTTTCTCCCACATACCAAACGCTGTTTAAAAATGAATTTTCCGAACATCCCAATGCAGAACTGGAGTGTCTTGAGACTCGGCGAGACACATACCGGATGACTAAATAACTTTTCTATAAAACACACCAGCACCACCACAACTGGCAAACGCGGCTTCTAGAGTGAGTGGCACCACTCCAGGCGTGCGCGGTGCACTGAGCTACGTCGTTGCCGGTCCCCGGCATCAGCGTGCCGCGCCGGGCCGCACCGAGCCACTCCGAGCCATGCCGAGCCCCAGACCCGCAGCTGCGCTTGCAGTTTAAACTAATAAATGTTGCATTGTGACCAGGGAAGGCCTATTGAGCTATGTAGCTCTCTTTCAGGAGGCATCTGGCCACAAATGACAGCTCAACAATTTCTTGGGGACAAACGAGTGGCGACATTGATTCTAAATGTGGAGGGAAAAACCGGAGGACCCGGAAAAAAAACCGCGCGAACCACGGGGAGAACGCGCAAACTCCAAATATACAGGCATCGGGGTCAAACCCCTTGACCCCATGTGTACCAGGTGAGGTAGTTAACGTCTCGCCATGGTGGCACCCCAGTCGGGTGCAGCAGAGCCGTGCACGTGGCGCGTGGTACAGACCCGGACGAGGTCCCGTCGGGACGGCGCGTGTGACGCACCGCACGTCACGTGGCCAAGCTTACGCGCCGGTGCGGGTTTTGGTAACGCCGGCAAGCGGGGCACGCGGCCTTCCACGCCGCACTGCAGAGTCCCGCAAGGTCGTTCCAAGGTGACCCGTCTCCGGCCATGAGAGGCCCGGTGACTACTAGACCCTCCTGGTGAAAAGCAAACCCCGAGGATAATAAACTGCGTACAACCTCCCCCCCCCACCATGTCCGCTTCCTGCACCCCCCCGCACCCCCCCCCCACCACCAATATATTCACCTTGCCGCGTCTCTCTCCCTCCGCCAGGTGGACCGGCTGTCGTTCCCATGTGGTTGCACCAAGGACGGCTGCGGGAACCCCGGGGGGCGCATCGAGTTCAACCCGGTGCGCGTGCGCACGCACTTCATCCACACCATCATGCGCCTGGAGCTCGAGCGCAAGCAGGCGGGCTGCGACGACGTGGGGGGCCCGCTCGGGGGGCCCGGCGTCGATGGGGGCCTGGTGCACGGCGCGGTCGAGAGGGCCTGCGGCTCCTTCGGCGAATCCGTGCTCCCGCAAGAAATGCTCGGGTGAGCGGCGTTCGCGAACCTGCCGGCCGCTCGGTAGACCCCACGGGGCCTGGGTCTGCACCGTGCGTGCGTTGAACTTCTTTCGCACCGTACTTGGCCAAACCGCGTGAATCAGAGGTGCGGGGGGAAGGAGGACAAACTGAACGCAAAAAGCGGTTCTCAAGAAATGTGTTTGTCAATCTAGATGACGATGATGTAAAAGTGCATAGCTCCGGTGGTTGCCTAATATCGGAAGGAAGAGCGTTCCAGACGGCCACAGAGGCGTGCCGGCGCAGCTTCCACGCTTCACGTGAAATGCCTCGAAGTGCGCACCTAGCCTGGCGCAAGCGCTGTGGTGACTTCACCGGCGCTTTCCGGCGTTGTCGCAGTGTGGGGAGCGGTGGCGCCGCGCTACAAACTCGGCAATCCGAGTTGCTAGGCCTGCCCCCTAGGTCAGTTCAGCCTTGAATGAGTACCTGGTGCGACATATATACCCTCTTGCCCCAGCAGTCTGGGTACAGCTTTGTCTTCGTTCATTCACTGTTGACAGCCCTGAACCAGTGGTGGAAGTTGAACATTTTCAAAGTGGAGGGTAGTCTCTACATAGAATCACCACTGTTGATGAACTTCATATGGTACTCACTTTATTGATTGATGAGGAGAGGTTATCACAGCGCCTGCCAGATACGAACATCTCCGTGCCATTGTTTCCAAAGCAGTCGGGTTTTTTGCGTGTGTGTGTTTACTGGAGTACGGTGTTTGCCCGGGATGTGGTGCGCTGTGAGATCGCCATCGCGTCACGTCAAGCCTCTGCTCGCTGTCTGTCCCACCCCGTCCCAGCAGAATGTCGGGCAGAGACAACAGCCCCATGATGCAGCTATTTGCCGCCGACGTGATGAGCGGCGACGTGATGAGCGGGGAGGACGGAGACCCCGACAGCCCCAGCAGCGGGTTCGCCTCGACGCTCTGCTCGTCCGAAGACGGGGGAGACGGCACGACGGGCGTCGAGTACCGGATACCGTCGGCGCTGCACCTGGGCAGGGTGGAGGGAGAACTTCACGTGAAGGGCGAGCGAGTCGGAGAGATGTCCTCCTACAGCCTCGACTCCTCGCTCTTCAGCTTCCCGTCGGACGACCTTCCGTCCATGTCCCTCTTCCCGAGCAACTCGTCCTCGGCCTCCTGCCTTTTCCACGGCGAGGAGTATGGCCTGAGCTGCGTGCAGCTGCACGGGGCCCAGGACGCGCCCACCCTGCAGGAGATGTCCCCCGCCGTCGACTGCGCTCACGACCGCCCCGGAGCGTCTCCGGCGGCGCACGCCGCGGACGCGACGCCGCCGCCGCTCGCCGCCCTCCTCCAGGACGCGCCGGCGGGCGTCGTGGCGCACGAGGAGACTCGCCCGGAGCTCGGCGCCGCGTGGCGGGACGGGCCCCCGCGGCCCGGCGCGTGCCGGGAGCAGGAGCCGCCGCGTCTCGCTCGCGAGCAGCGGGAGGCGCCGACGCGCCCCCGGCACGGAGCTGTCGGCCCCTCGACTCGCGGCGACGTCGCGGACGGCGGCGGGGGCCTGGATCGGATCGTCTGCCGCGGCGAAGCGGCGTTCGAGATCGAGGCGGAGGGCGACGCGGCCCTGGAGCGGCTGTCGGCCGGGCGCTCCCCGCCCGCGGGTCGCTCCGACGGCGGCGGGGAGGCCGCGTCCCCGCCGACAAACGGTTCCGGCGCGAGCGCCGCGGAGAGCGGCGGGCTCGTCGCCAGCACCCGAGCCCCGGCGAACGCGGCGGACGTGGCGACGCACGGGATCGAGGACGAGCGCGACGCCTGCCGCGACGCGCCGACGTACGGACTCGCGGGTCGGCACCTTGCGCCCAACGCGCGCGTTTCAAAAGGAGAGCCGTTCTCCTCCTTCGTCGCCAACGAACCTGAACGCGTCCTCCCGCGCGAAGTCGGGGCTGGCTGCGGCGCGAGCGGCACCGAGGGATCGCCGGCGGCGCCCGGCCCGGAGGCGCGCGTGGAGGAGGAGAGACTTGAGACGGAGGAAGCCGTTAAAATGATTAAAATGGAGCAGAAGGATATCTGAGCCTGTCCCTCGCAACCCAAGAGCAATGTCGTTGAGTGAAGGGGGGGGGGGGGCTCTCCCCTGCCGCTCGCTGTGAATCAAAGGAAGCGCCGCGGAATCTCTCGCCGGGCGTCACGGCGTCGCCGAGGCTCGGGCGACGGCGCCGCTCCGAGAATTTCGACGGCCGCCTCGTTTTAACAAAAAAAAATCTCCCCCCACCCCCCCATCCTTCGAGTGAAATGCAATTTCAAAGGCGTGGCTTCACGTGAATTTTAAGTGTCCCGTGTTTTAAGAGAAGTGTCGTGGCTCTGTCAGACGGCGCAGCCTCGTGTGTTGGTGTAAGTGAGCCGTGCGTAGTGATTTTAGAATGTACCATAATTGTTTGTGTGGCGTCAACGAAATGATGATGACTACAGGAGAAAGAAAAAAAAATCTAAACTCTCGTACCCGTCGACATTTCATTTAATGGTTTAATTTTTGTAATTTCAAATGTATACCTTACAATTGTCGAATTGATGAAAAAAAAAACCTGGAAAGCATTTATATTTATTTCACCGTTGTGTTTCATTGTTTTAGTTTTATATGACGCCGCTATTTATGATGATGATGATGACGACGACGACGCGGGTCTGTGCGTGTGCCCAGGTGGGCTCTAGCTATAGCCGTGATCGACTCCTGTGACCGTGTTTGTGTGCGTGAAGCGAAAACACAGTGCAATGGCTCGGAGCGCGAGCGCTCGCTCGTCTCGAGCACGCCGCCTCGTCCCGCGCGCGGACGGGCAGCGAGCGGGCAGAGGGACACGCGTGTCCTCGCCAGGTTCGTGTTACCCTGGAGGCTGTCGTGACCAGCGGCCTCGGCTGGGGATATTCTTGTCAATAAAAAAAAATGTGAAAACACAACCACTCGTTTACCACTCGTGTGGCTGCAGATGCCAGGTCGCGTCTTCGTTTACCATTTTACCGGAACGAAACCATCGATGAGGCCTGCCTGCGCGGACAATCATCAATACGCAGCTGCGCATAGCATAACTCGTGCAGTTAGCTGCTCAGATGTACACATAGCATAACAGTTTAGCTGTTCACATGTGCACAGAATAGCAGTATAGCTGCTTGTACGCAGGATCACGTAGCAGAGTTATGCTCACGCGATGGCTTCATCACAAAGACGGCAGCTGACTCTCCCACACTTCCACAAACGGGGGAAGACGGCAACCCCCCCCTCCCACTCATCTCACGTTGACCACAGTGGTGAAGTATGACCAAACTATCATAGCCGACATTTTTCATCCATCACTGAATTGACAAAGGGACTGTGCAGTTGTATTTATTTTGGGGGTGGGGGGGGGGAATCAATTGTTGATTAGGGCCCTCGCCATAACAATGTGGAACTTCCAACCGCTTGTGATTCAGAACCCACGAACTGAACCCGAACTGGTGGTGGCATTCGAGTCCCCGTTTGGAACACGGGTGACGTCCGTAGCCACAGTCGCAGCAGCAATGGCTAAAGCGTGTCACGATGCAGCGCCGAGTGTAACCCGGGTCTAATTACTGCGCGCTGTGAAAGTTGATCGTGAACTGCGACGGTGTCATCGGAACGCCGCTTTGCGCTTCACTGCTCGCGCCGCACGCAACGATCAAGGGGCGGGGGGGGGGGTCGGCGAGTGTCTGGCACACGACGTTCTGTGCGCGATGTTGGAATTCGTGATGCGCCGTGCAATGCGTGAGGTGGCAATCACGGAGAGCGCAGAACGTGTCAGAGGTGCGACTCCTTTTTTTATTCGTGCCAATCATTCTGCTGGAGTCGCCGATTAAATATATCCATCGCGGAGCCGCTTATCCACAACCGCGAGGACAGCGTGGTGTCTCGTGTGAATTCTAGATTTGAAGCTTTCGTGACTGCAAGGATTCATACTCTTAGGTTTTTTCGGTAAAGTCACGTAGGTACAAAAAGAATAATAATCAAACTAATAAAAATAATAGAAATAATGATAGAAATAAAATAAAAAATCACGACGTTTCGGAGGCAACACAAGTCTCCGTAATCAGGTGGGACCGTCACAGCTAAATTTACTGTATCTCGTGTGAATGTTCACAGATCCCGCACCTCCGATTCGCACGGTTGGCTACGTACGGGTTCCAAAGAAGGTGAACGGACGTGCGTGCCACGTGGGCGGTTGACGATTTCACCGTTAAAAGTCCTCTTCAAGGAGAATGGAATCGTGGCTCGCTTAGTCAAGTGCGCCTCCCTTCCACGATGTGGGCACCGCACGGCGATTGAGTGCGAACTGAATAGTAACGTTTACGGAAGAGTAATGCTCACAGAATAATATTGGTAGGAAACTCTGGTTACACCAGCCCACAGGGGATTATTGTGTCCGTCCGTCCGTCGTGCAGGGACGGGCTGGGTGGGGAGGGAGGGGCTTGGTGGGGAGGGGTGGGGAGGTGCTGGGTGGGGAGGGAGGGGCTGGGTGGGGGGTGGGATGGGATGGGTGGGGCTGGGTGGGGAGGGGCTGGTCACCCCGTGGTGCCCTTATAAAACTCAACGTTTAACCTACTCACGCCGGCTTGTGCCCGCCTTCACAGTCGGAAATATTTGCGGAATACACCACGCCGCCGTTGACCCTGGACATTGACCGAGCAACCCAACGTTCCTACCAGCTCCCTCCGTAGGAATGTTATTAATGTTCACAGAATAGTAACTCTCACAGAATAGTAACGCTCACAGAATATTCACGCTCAGCACCGTCTGCACTTGGTCGGCCCAATTTGAACCGAGCGTTGGCGACATCCACAGCAGCGCGTGCGTAGTCCACGTCCCGCGCAAACGTGCGTGCAGTATGTGCACGCCGGACTTCTTTCGCACCGTACGCAGCCAACTCCGCTGTAATCGGGAGGTGCGGGAAACACCCCTCCCCAACTACCCCAGCGCCGGCAATTCGCGACAAGCGACACCGACACCCACCGAGATGCCCCCCCCCCCCCCCCACGGTGGCTACCGAGTGGCGTGATCACCTCGTTAAACGTCACCTTGACACGCGGCGGGTGAAGAAGACGGCTCAACAACAACAACCACAACTCCAGAGCAGCGCTCTTCTCCATTGCAAGGCTCGCGGGCCACTGGCGGTCACCTGGTTTGTCTTTCAGTGCTGCCCCGTGACAATACACAACATGGGAAAGACACCCCCCCACCCATCATCATCATCGTGCTGCTGTCAACCCCCCCCCCCCCCCCTCAATGCAGTGGCGGATTATCATAGTGGCAACAGTAGCTACTATAGCTACTACATATGTAGTAGCTACTTATGTAGTAGCACTTTCAAGGGCCCCGCGCTCAATGCTTTCAAGCTATCAATTCCGGTTCAGTGATTCTGCACTTGCTCTATTACTATAGTACTATACTGCCTTCAACCGTTATGAACGACTGGGTGTTTAAGGTTAGCGATTTGTCGTATTATCTGGCTGTATAGCAAATGAAAAAATTACAATGACTTAACTGTGCAAGTTAAAAATGTGTGTTTTAATATCTCTGTGTTTTTTTTATTTAGTGCCCCATTATAACATATGCTACAGGCCCCGCACTCGCTTAATCCGGCACTGGCCCAATGGTTTCAAATTTGTGTCGCAACCTCGCACCGCGATGACGTGATGTCGGCGAAAGTGGCTTCTTCACCTTTGAAAGTGAGTAAAGAACAACACCGCTCGATAAGTGCATTGCGGCAAAGCTTTCACTGTTGGCTGCGCTGCTCGACGCTCTGGCTACATCTGCAGGCCGAGCGTGGAAGTGGTGATGTCCACATGATGCGGCTTATTTCCATCGAGTGTCGATCGATAGGAAAATGTGATCACCGGTCTCTCCAAACAAGCGGCAATACGAGCGCAAGACCAGCGTATTGCCTTGGTTTGTAATGAACACGTTCTGTCAATGAATCAACGGCTGGTTGATTATTTAAATGCACCACATTTATATATTTTTTAAAAAATGACAAATCGGACTCTTTTAGTCTAGCCCCTTGGTGTTGCGGCAAAGCTCTCAAATCACAAACGTAATCCCATGAGTTCTAATCCCAGACAGGGGTCGACTCGAGCCGTCACCCTTGTAACATACTGCCCCTCTTTGTGATTAGTCAATATCACACCTCCACTTAAGAGCATGGCTCCCGACACGGGAATGCCAAATATCTCCCAGGCTGCCTTGCGCTCACTTCAGTTTGAATCGTTACTCGGTGAAGTTTTATCCAAGAATTCACAAAATAGGGAACACACGCAGGTTACGAGCACCATTGTGACCGTGAGGGCAAGTGGGATTGGACAGAAACACGTCCTTAGAAGTCGAGAATAATGATGGGTGCCGTGCGATCAGCTCGCGTGCAGGTGCCGGATGGATCGCCGCCGTGGTGAGATGTTAACTCCCTCGCCTGCTATGCAAGGAGGTCGTCGGTTCGATCCAGACCCTGCTGTATATTTGGAGTTTGCGATGTCTCTCTCGTCGCGTGGATTTTTCTCCGGGTCCTCCTGGTTTCCCCTCCACGTTTCTAATCGACATCACGCGTTCAGAGTATTTGGCTGCTATAAATTTCCACGCGATGCTGAGCCACTTCGTTGAGCTATCATGTGTGGCCAGGTCGCTTATGAAATACAGCTAGATAGTTCAGTGGGACTTACCTGGTAAAATTAAAAATAGTTTAGTTGATATCGTAGGATCGTGAGAGATGGCGACGCCTGTATAAAAGGCCTTCATCCAGCAGTGGATTGATCACGGTTGATGGCGTTTGCTGAAGGACCGGTGTTATACCATCTGTGTATGAATAGTATCATAGTACATTCATACCTTTCAAAATCATAAATTATAACATGTACGCATACCTGTCAATCCACCACACAGAGACCCATAGATTCACCACACAGAGACCCACAGACTCACCGCACAGAGACCCACAGACTCACCACACAGAGACCCACAGGCTCACCACACAAAGACCCAGACTCACCACACAGAGACCCACAGACTCACCACACAGAGACCCACAGACTCACCACACAGAGACCCACAGACTCACCACACAGAGACCCACAGACTCACCACACAGAGACCCACAGGCTCACCACACAGAGACCCACAGACTCACCACACAAAGACCCAGACTCACCACACAGAGACCCACAGACTCACCACACAGAGACCCACAGACTCACCACACAGAGACCCACAGGCTCACCACACAAAGACCCAGACTCACCACACAGAGACCCACAGACTCACCACACAAAGACCCACAGACTCACCACACAGAGACCCATAGACTCACCGCACAGAGACCCACAGACTCACCACACAGAGACCAGACTCACCACATAGAGACCCACAGACTCACCACACAGAGACCCACAGACTCACCACACAAAGACCCAGACTCACCACACAGAGACCCACAGACTCACCGCACACAGACCCACAGACTCACCCATATCTGTCAATCCACACGGTTCAGATTTCAGGTCCATCCGGCGTACAGCCGTTTCAATACGGACATTGTAGGATGAACGTTGCTATTTATAAGGGCACGGGGGTGACCAACAAGGTCTGAATTGGTCTGTAATAAGGTAGGGCACTGATAATGGCTTGCCGTATCATGTTCAGGCGGTTGCAGTACGTACTGCCGTAACCTAGTAAAACCCTCCACTCCCCCCTGTTGCACGATGCTGTGTACTGCTCGTACAGCCCAACGGGAATTCGCCATGCCAGGCGCTGGAACATCGCGTTCTCCATAATAGAACATCAATACAGTATATATATCACGTACATATGTTACTCGACTGGGCCACTCTGCCGTGCTTGCTCTGCGCCCGCAGCTACACAGACACAAATTTTAAAAAACATGTTCCGTTCCCACCGCTGTCTTCCCTGCAAGCGTGTTGACGCCGTGAAATATTACATGTAATCAATTGCGAACGAATTAACGAGACGTGTGATGCGCGGACTCTATTCATTATTAACGATTGTTATTTGATATGCGCGCGTGTTTCTGGCGTGCCGCGTGGTTAGTGTTCGATGGCGCTGGGTGCGCGCCCTGCGGTGCGGTGTTGATATTCGGCATGAAGTCGTTGGGGATTGAGCTAATGGCACGCGTTGTTGAGTAACGACGTCTTCTGAATGCGTTACTGGACCACTGCGAATCCCACACGTGAGGGCACAAGCGAACTCACAACGCCTCCGATTAGCCACGGTTGGCGTACGTACGGTGCGAAGAAAGTTCAACGTACATACAAAGACCCCCCCCCCCCAGTATAGCCTGACTGTTGGGACAAGTGCTGTTAGCGAGCACGGCACACGAGGGGTGGGTGACCAACACCACGCCTGGGCCGCCTTTGTCTCCCTCGTGGCGATGTTTGCTACACGCCGAACCAGGTACAGCACTCATTTGAGGCCGAGTCAACCTAGGGGAGGCCCAGAACCGGTTCAGATCATCGCGGCTGGTGTTGGCCGTGAGCGGCAATCGAACTGGGGTCGCCGGGTTCGTAGCGCAGCGCGAACTAATCGCTTGCACTACTGCTGCCCACGTGCATCCGTACACAACACACTCAACAAACGTGGCCATGCAGATGGGGCTCCCCCCGTGGTTGTGGATGACCCTCCTCACGGGGTGGAACATTGCGTGATGCGTCCGTGCCGTGGTGGCCCTGCCGAGCGACAGTGAAATGCCCATTTGGTGTGGCTGCGAACACTCGGCTGGCGGATGGAAACCCTGAGCCAGAGCCGCTGAGATTCCGTGCAGCGGGAGACGCATTGCTCATGGGGATAGTTCCCGGGGGGAGGAGAAATCGTATTCGACCCTGTACATCGATTCTAGACCTCAGCTGGTTCTGCAGTAATGCGGGTGCATTGTCTCAATTTGGTCACCGACCAACTGCATTCAAATTGGTTCTTAATTCGCTATGCCGGCACTGAATATGTACAGCAGGGCAATTGAGATGCACCACCTAGCGTAGGCGAGAGGCAATTTGAAGGGGGCCACGGAAACACCCCTGTTGTTTAAATTCCAGAGGTCGTTCTCGAGGACTGCATCACAGGGTAATGTTGCATCGCTCTGCGAGACGTATGGGCGTGGAATGACGCCGATAGCACGAACATCGGAATACCGTACATGTGCGAAAACACAAATCAACTACGTCTAAGACACTCTGGCATCTGGTCGTGTATCGCGCAGTGATAAGACGATGGCTGCTGATCCAGCAGTGGATTGAGCATGGCTGCTGCCGCTGTTGCTGCTGCTGATGATGACGACGAAGCAATAAGAAGCGTACGACGTGGGCACACACGTCGCGTTCAAAGACGCCGCACAACATAACGGGGCATGGTGCGTCACGGAGGCCATGATGATGAAGAAGAAGAATTCAGAAACTTAGCGGCAGGACCGACAGCAGGACACGTGCCATCCCCCCTGCCAATATTCAGCGACACGACAGCGTCGTTTTCAGTCACGGTGCAATAAGCCGGGCCTGTCATCTCCGCAATTACTGACGGACAAAACAAACAAACAGACAGAAGTGGCTGATGAATAAACATCGGGGGGCAGTGTTGGCGTGACGCGCTCCGGAGTGTCTGCCCCAGGATTGGACGCCGCGGATGCCCGCAAGCCGCGTGGGGGGGGGGGGGCAGCTCCTCCTCGCCTCTCCACAAATGGTGCGGAGCTCGGGAGGGGAGCACACTGACAGAAGCCCACCACCACCCGCCCCCCCTCCGCAATCAGAGAGGTCAGAAAGAGAGAGAGGGGGGCGCGCGTGTTGCAAGCTCCTGACGAGCGCGCACCATTGCACGGTCGGCGCGACACGCGTGTCGAGAAACATCGGCGACTCGCCGTCGTCGTCGTCGTCGTCATCTTCGTCGTCGTCTTCTCCGGCATCGTCACCATCACTCGCTGGCGAGTGACGCGAGACGCGACGAGGTTTTTTTTTTCCGCGCAGCTCGGCTCGGGAGGACAAAGGAGGCTCGAAGCGCGTCGCAGCCAAGCTGCCATCCTCTCCTCCACACGCTCCACCCCGAGGGGACCATCGGAGCAAGAAGGACGAATACAGAAAACCAGTAAGCTGCACCGGGCGGGCGCATCGTACACAACCAGCGGTAGCGGTAGCACCAGCAGCAGCTGTGACAGCAGCAGCAGCAGCGGCATCTGCTGTCCCTGCACAAGAGGGGGATGGAGTAACATCGCTCGCGCGCGGACCCAGCTCCTCGTCTTTGCCTTTCGCGATGTCACAGTGGGGTGGGGGAAGGAGGGCTCGGGAGGGATTGATCGATGAGATTGATTTGACCCCAGGCGAGTGATCGCATTCGCGTCAGTCACGCACGAGGAGGAGGAGGGAGGGAGGGAGGAGGGAGGCAGTCGTTGCGTTTTGGCGCAGTGAGGTCCGGTCCGGTGCTGACCGATTTCGCTTCTAAACGTTTCCAATGTCGCGATCCCTCGGTCGCGTTACAGGGGCAGCTCTTTTTCAGACGCGGGTATTTTTGGAGGCCGCTCAAGTGTTCGCTACCGCCGCTGCGGCCGCTGCTGCTGCCGCTGTTTCTGTTGGCGCATCAGCGCGTGCCGGGGCTGCGGCTTGATTAATGTGCCCGTGTGGGTGGACAGATGGAAGCCAAGGCAGCGCTCACTTACAAGTTCGGGTTGAGGTCTGGTAACCGGAGCCGTTCCTTCGCGCCGCTCTACTTAAAACCGAACAAGGCAATGCCACGCGCGAGCGCTCATCCCGTGTGTCTACGATGCGGCAATGCTTCCCGAGTGTGCGCGACAGCGATCTTGCAAAAATCCGCACGCGGCCCTCGGTCCGTGTCGGCGCAAGAGACGCAATTCATAAAGCCGCGTCGCAGAACGATGCAGCAGCGAGATGCCGCACAGCGCCCTCATTGCGGGTTCATGAATTTCTAAGGGTATCAATGTCATACCGGTCATACGTGGATGGCACGAAATTGGTCCTTCGGCAAACGTCATCATCAGCCGTGATCATTCCACTGCTGGATGAAGGCCTCCGCCGGGCGTTGGCCATCTCTCGGCGTTCCTGCGATGCGATGAAGCCACGCAGCACGTGCACACGACTCGTCTCGTGCAGGGGGCACGACTCTCGGACGCACTCCGTTTCGTGGCTGTCAATCCGTCATTAGTCTCGACCATCGGGGCGTCATCCAGCCCTTCCAGCCGTCACGTGCCTTGTCCAAGTCCACATGACTTTTCTGAACAGTTTGAATGATGGTCGTTGTGATGGCATGTACAATAACACTGGTCAACACACTTTTTCTGGCACAAGGTATTCCAACGGTTTTAAGGTAATTTTGGGGTGCTGATTCCAAAAAAACCTGATGTCTATCACATCAGGTTTTTGAGATATAAAATATTGCATTTTCAATAAAAACTGCAGAAGAAAAATATTAAATAAATGTGGCTATCTACATAAAATGATATTATAAGCACACCATCCTAAAAATACATCACCATATTTAAACACTAAAGCAGTCACTGACTCGTAACAACTTGCAATCAAAAGTGACAGAGTTAATTTCGGGTCAAATCAATGAAAATGGGGTATGCCGATAGCATAAAAATGAGATGTGATAGAGCAAATCTGAGATCAGATTTGGAATCAGCACCCTGAAATTAGTCTAAAACAGCTGCAAAAGTTAACCAGTGTATAATTAACTACCACAGTATTCGTAATTACTACTACTACTCTGTATGGCGTTGCTGTAAAGAACGCGGCTGGACGGAGGGCACGAGGCGTTGGTGCTGTTGGCGATGGACACGCCAAAATAGATTTGGGCCGCTCGTCCCGCAAGCGTTCCCTGCTGGGCTGTGTCGCGCCAGCTTGCTATTTGGGAGATTTTATATATAAACACACACACACTTGTCTGGAAGCCAATTGAGTACGATGACGGGAGGTAATAACAATGGAAAGAATAAGTCTTAAAATATCGTTGTATTCTTAAATACACGAGATGAAAATCAGAGGTTGCCTTTACTCGTGACGAGTACCCAATGCTGAGGTTGTTTCCTATGACCCAATCACCCTGAATGTGCCAGATCTTGTCAGATCGTGGAAGTTCAGCAGGTTTTCAGCCTGGTTAGCACCAGATGTGGTTTCGGCTTGGGCTGCGAGGTGACCGGGAGATGGCAGTTACAGTCACTGATTGTGCGGCAAATTATTCTCGAATACGCCTGTGCAGATTGTTGAATGTTAACACGCCTTCATATGCGTGGGATTTCCCAGGGCACTCTGGTTTCAGCCCACGTGCCAAACACTCGTTATTTACCCAGCAGGAGCCTTTGCCTCGAGGCTTTCTTTCAGGAGGATCCTGCGTTGGAGATGATGGGCTGTTTTCATGAATGAGTATTTGCCATGTGGAAGGAAATCTGAGAACCTTGAGAAAAACCCAGGTTAACGCTCTCGTATACACGGAAGACATTTTAGTGAGCTACTGCGCACCAACCAACCACGCCACTGCTTGCCCTTTCTCACAAACTAATTGCATTTCCAGTCTTTGTCCGCTTTTAAATTTATGGTATTCACAGCGCCGCAAATAGCCAGGCCGCGAGGTCAGCTGCTGCAGCGGCGCTCCACTCTGCCTGCCGCCGCCGCCGCTGCTGCCCCCTCGCTAACGAGGCCGCCGAGACCGCGTGACCCGGAGAAGCTCCCTCCCGCGAGAGGAATACACGCCATGGAACGTGGCCTGGAGCAGGAGGTGGTGGTGGGCGAGGGCGGCCGGACGGACGCCAGCGAGCGGTGCGAGCACGAGGAGGACGCGGCTACGCGCAGAGTGAGCACGGCGCGATAATGATTCACTCAGCCCAAGCCTCGACAGCTCCATCCGTAAACACAGCTGCGACTGTGAGCTTATGCGTCACGCTGCGGCGTTAGCGGTATCCCGAGCCGAGGCTTATGGGGACATCGAACCCACGATGTAACACATTCACAGCTCTAAGACGTTGCGTTTGCACAAGCAGATGTTGCTGAAACGGTAAAGTGCATTGGACGCAGCGAGGTCTATGGCAGATTTTTTTTATTTAAAGCGTAAGCATCGTACGAAAGCTCGTCATAACACACGGTGATGTCACTTGCGAATTTCAACAGTTGAACGAAGACGCCGCAAGTTCCGAGCGACCCGAGGCAGCTGAGCGGCGCGAGCAGGCGGCTGCTGGGCAGGAAGACGTCGAGAAGACGCCGGCGACGGAGGGGAGGCACGACGACTCGGAGACGTTTCCACCGCGTGGAGACACTGAGCAAGGTCCCCAGCTTCGGCAGGCTGACACAACTCGGCACGCAGAGGAGGCCGAGGCAACTGAGGATTCGCATCCACAGGAAACTCGAGGGCCGGAACCAGATCACACACAAGGAGGCATGGAGATCCAGCGAAACGGACAACTCGCCTCAAGTGGCGAGAATGACCGACCTCCTGCACCGCAGCCCACAAAGGCTCCCGGTGAGGCCCAAGGGACTCAGTGCAGCACAGTCAGTTTACCGGCGATCTCAGATCAACAAGATCATGCTGATGAGTTAGAGGATTCCAAACCAGCAGAAGCATCAGATGAAGCTCTTGAGAGTTTACCGGCAATCTCAGATCAACAAGATCATGCTGATGAGTCAGAGGATTCCAAACCAGCAGAAGCATCAGATGAAGCTCTTGAGAGTTTACCGGCGATCTCAGATCAACAAGATCATGCTGACGAGTTAGAGGATTCCAAACCAACAGAAGCATCAGATGAAGCTCTTGAGCATCAGGGTGAGACACAAGACAGTAGAGCATTAGACGATGCTTGCGTTGAGAAGGCAGATGCCGCTCGTGACGAATCAAAGACAGGAGATTTAACGGATTCGCTGAAAGACATAGGAGGCACAGAACCAGCTGATAGTTTAGAAATACACATTCCGCAAATGGACGAAGCTGAGACACAAGAAAGCAAGGTCTTAGACGATGCTTGTGTTGTGAAGGCCGGATACACTCGACTCAAATCAGAGACGGAGAGCTCAGAGGGCAGTCTGAAGAACGTGAAAGATACCGTTCCAGCAACTGAGTCAGACATCCACCATCCGCAAGCGGGTGAAGAAAGAGAAGGGCAAGCCGAACCTAAGGACTCAAGTGTGGAGCAAGGATTTGAGGATCTCGAGCAGGAATTGAAGAATTTGCAATCAGACGAAGAGGCGATTCGAGTGCATGAGCATGAATTTGAGGACTTGGAGCAAGCAGAGGCACTGGAAAAAGTGGCGAATGCAGAAGAAAAAGATGACAATAACACACCAGCAATACTCGCAGCACTGGAGCCAGCTGCTGAAGAGGAGCAACCCGAAATACTCTTGCCAGCTGACACTTTACGTCCAGAAAAAGAGCAGGCATTTGAGGACCTTGAGCAAGAAATAGTATCTCTGCGATCCCGTGAAGAATATGACCCGGTGGAGATTTCAGAAGATTTAACGACCTCCGAGTGTGAGCAGGACGTAAAACGTGCAATGGAATTGGAGGAGCGTGGACCGTTCCCAGCAACCGAACAGGAGAAGTTTGATGAAGTGCGGGCAGCTGTGAATGTTGAGACAGCAGAGGAGCAGAAGGGCGCAGACATCGAGCATGGACCTGAAGAGAGACAGCTAACAGGAGAAGACATGGGTGATGTGCAGCCTAAGCACAACGTGAATGAAATCGAAACTGCGGATTCGGTCGCGGTAGATACTGCACATCGAGAAGAAACCAATGTCGCAGAGGAAGCAGGAGATGTAGAACAATCACGAAAGAGTTCATGCCCAGCAGTCCGAACCTCTACCGAATTGGAATATGGTGACGCTGGGATTGCCGTGTATGTCACCGAGGCAGATGATGAGAAAGAGGAAGACGCAATGGAGGAACTCGTACCGGCGGCACACTCACCAGAAGGAGAATTGCCTCAAGGTGCGGATCAAGAATATGCGCAAGAGAAATCAAAGATCGCAGAACCCGATGGCGTGCCCGGAGACACCGCTGACCGAGAGTCAGTCGGCACGGTCGAAGACGTCGGAACAGTGATGCATTCCGAAGAAGTGAATCTAATTGAAATCCACAAATTGAACACGTGCCTGGATCCAGTCGACGATAAAGAACGAGGAGTGGAAACGAACGAAGCGATGGACGTAGAGCCACTCATGGGAACGCATGTTCACGAGCAAGAGCAGGTGACAGAAAATACAGGACCTGAAAAGCTTGTGCCATCACAAAGTACAGCAACAGAGCTGAGCCCGAATGAAGAGCCGCAGGATCAACAAATGCAGAGGAGTGAAAATCTTGGAATAGACAACCCACGGGAGGAGCAGCAGCAACAACTTATGCCGTCTGAAATGTCCGAAGCTCTGGCTCCAACCGAAGAACTGGAGTCTGCAGATCTATCGGTTCAAACTGGGGTAACTGAAGATGCCAGTAGCTTAAAGGACGTCAACATGAATGAACAGTATGACCCAAATAATCTTGAAAACACACAAAGCAATGATAATTTTGACATGCAGTTAGCACGTGAGGATCTGGATCAGTTAAACACGATTGAATCAGAGGGCACAGGCGAAGCAGAAAACCAGCCCCATGCATTGGTGCCACAAGCTACCAATGATTTAGACAAAACATTACCCCAAAGCCTAGACCCGTCTGCAGAGACACTGATTGGCTCAGTCGAGAGTCTTGAACCAACCGAAATATTAGACCAATACTTGCAGCAATTTGAGGAGAGCAACCTCGTGTGGAATTTAGAAATGGACAGCAATCTGGGGCGAGCTGAGAGTACGAAGCGACTGAATAAACTTGACGATTCGAATAGCGCAGAGAAGACCGATAATTTGCGGCACACTCAGAGAAACGATCCCCCTAGACAAAGAGAGATGCTCGTAAACGTCGAACCAGATGCCAACGAATGTGGAATGCACGCGATCACAGAAGTAGAAGAAGCAATGCAACTTGACGTTCTGGAACAAGATGCTAAGCTAGAAGTGGAAAAAAATGAGAATAAATCCTCACAGCATGACAACTCGACGTATCAGGCTCACGCTGAGCAATCAGCTGACACGACGTCAGAGGATTCTCAAAAAGCTGAATGTAACAAGTGGCCGAAGGAGCTAGACCAGCCTTCGCCATTTGATCACAAAGGGTACATGGAAGGACCTCGTGAGGAAAGTGAACAGGTTGAGCACCTGCAGTCTGTGATGCCAACTACAAGCGAGCAGGAGGCGGTGGAGGAGGAGCCTACTGGGGTCTCAGAGATGTCTCGAGGGTTTGGACAAGACCAGCGCCTGCAACGAGGAGACCACGATGGTGCACCGGTGGTGATGCACAAGCAGCAGCATTTAAGGTCGATCACAGACGATGATTTGGAGAAGCTCCAGTCTCCTGGGAATGCAGATGTTGAGCACGAGACGGGCCAAGCTGAAGACCTGAAACAGGAAGACATCCAGCAAAGGGTAGAGCCCCAGAATCCAGTCACAGATGAGCGGTCCGAAACATCGCAGCCCTCTGAGATCATTGAAATGGCCGAGAGGCTGGAGAAGGAAGAGTGCCTAAGAGGAGAAGACGAGGGCGAGGAGAACACACGTAAGCCCCACGACCCGCCAGAGATGCCAGCGTCGACTGAGACCACCAAAACAGAAGATGACATCGCCGAGGCTGAACAATTGGAGCGAGACAAGAGCCAAGAGCGGGAGGACATAGAGCGTCTTCAGTCCCTGGCACCAATTGCGGACGACGTAGCACAAGTGGCGCAGTCCGCAGAGATAACCCAAGCGGAGGCGTCACGCGCTGACGAGACTGCTTCAGGTTCGGCTGAAGCGGTCGATGAGGATCAGAGCGCACGACCGGTAGATAGCCAGGAACAAGCAGAGCCTTTAGAGTTGGAGACGTCGCAGCCGACGCAGATCACGGAGATAGCCAATGAGCTTGATGAGTGTGCGAACCTGCAAAATAAAGACGACGAGATGAAGGAGGAGGTGACACAGGTCGAGTTTTTAAAAGCCACTGGGAACGAACAGCCAGAGACTGTGCAGGCCACGGAGATGAGGGACACGGCGAGAGGCGCCGGGAGGGATGAAGCCATAAGCCAGGGGGGTAACGAGGGAGAAACGGACATCAAACGGTCTGCTGAGATAATAGAGGTGGAGGTGCCACATGGGACAGCGATAAGAGAAACGGACGGGGAGATGGATGAAGCGCAAGGGCCGGGGCAGGAAGGTCACCACGATAGGGCAGATCACGCACAGCCCCAATCGTCAAGTGCGTATACAGATGGTCAATCGGAGATGTCGTGCTCCACGGATGTTTCAGAGACGGTAACAAAAGCTGAGAAAGTTGAACACACCGAAGAAGTAGCTGTTCAGGAAAGGGCAGATGCTGAGCGCCGTCAGCCGGAATATCCCGCGGCTGAGGAGACAGAGAAGACATCGCAGTGTGACGAGATTACAGAAGGGGAGATGGCGAAGTCTGCTGACGCCCTTGAGAAAGATCAACGCTGTCAAACAGAGGACAGCCGGGAACAACCTCTGCACATGACCACAGTAGGCCGCTTGCCACCAGAGGAACCAGAGTCTGCAGAGAGCATGGAGACAGTGAAGGGGAATGATGATGCTGACGACCAGGATGCAACAGAGGCGGCGTTTAAGCCACCTTTAGAGTTGGTTATAGATGAACCCACAGAGGTTCCACAGTTGACCGAGGTTATATTGACCAACGAAGACACGAATCCTAAACAGGATGAACCAGGAGAGGGCACGGCGTCTCCTTCTCTGGGGAACGAGTGTGCTGTGCAGGGGAATGTGAGAATCACGGATCAGCCCTTTGAAACCTCGTCAGGTCATCAGCCGGAACGAAAAGATCCAGAAATTAGTGGGAAAAATATCAAGGATACTTTGCAGTCATTGATTCACTGCAACGTGGTGGAATCGTCTCACGGCATGATCCTGGAACCCAGCGAGAAAGGAAACATGCACATATCCAAATACAAGCTCATGAACCCAGACTCGCAGCCAGAGATTCAAAATGAGAAGACCATACATGGCGACATTGGAAGTATCCTCAACGAGCTGCTCACCCACAGGGAGCCCCAGAGGCAGGAGGTCGCAATTGAGAAGGAGGAGAGGGGCAACCTGAAGGAGATTCTGGACAAGTTGATGACGCAGTCAAGCACGTGTGAGGATGACAAAGAAGGCGACCGAGTTGATGGAACAGCGAGAGAATATCCCGACACTGACACATCTGGGATTCAGAACGGAATCCTTATACAGGAGTGTCTCCAGGGCAGCGTCAAGATGACGGTCTACTCGCTGCAAAACCAAGATGACAACGGCAGTGGCCAGAAAGAAGAAGTCATAGCTGGCAATGTTAAAGGGGCAAAGGAGAGCCTCTTGGCCTCTGCAGAGAAGCCAACGCCGAGAAAGCTCGAGCTGGATTACATCCGCAAGGGAAACGTACGCTTCTACACAACGTGCATCAACAGCGGTGCCCTGGGCTACCTGCAGCTCCTGCAGGACCAGGGGGAGCAGCTTGAAGCGGCTGCATCCTGTGACGCGAGCCGTGCCGGTCCCGTGCTCGCAGACACGGAAGAGAGGGTGGATGTGAAGGCGATACGCAAGTCGTTTGAGGCAGCCTTAAAAGAGTCTGGAAATGAAAATGCCATCAAGGTTCCCGTTTGGCCACAGTACTGCGCTTCCAATATCAAGTCGGGGACGGCGAGTGAAAAAGCGCCCGGCGAAGCGGTGAATGCTACGCCCCGACGTTCGGAGGCGCCTGCAAGTGCTGACGGATGTGCTGCGAGCCAAGAGGCAGAGGGTCAGAGTGCAGCTCAAGCGAACGCAAGCGAAACTCTGCTTGAAACACAGAGCACGCACACCCCAGAGTCGGGCCCTATTACAGAGAGTCGGGTCCAATGCGAAGAAGTCGCGAAGGTGAACGTGAAAGATGCGCGCAGGAGTTTTGAAGAAGCCAAACAACTGGTGAGAGAAGTACAAAGGGAGAAAGTGGTCAGGGGCAACGTGGAAGCCGCGAAGCAAAGTTTGATGGAATCGTTCAGCCGCGGGAAGGAGGTCGTGCGCCAGGTCGACATCGCGGAAGATCTGCAGACCCTTCAGCGGAATGCGCCACTGGTCCAGCACGCTGCCTCCGTGTACCACGACGGCCACCTCCTGGTCGAGGTGACCAACGATAACAACAATCGGACCTCCGGCGAGGAGGGCTCCCCTGCATCGGCAGGAACTCCCTCTGATTTGAAGGCCAGTGATACACTGGAAAATGAAGAAATCGACGCAAACGCACATCGAGAAACTCAGGATCCAACGCCTCGGCACACCGAGTGCCGTGGCGAAGTCCACAAAGACGCCCACAACACGAGAGGGAAGTTACAGGAGCGCAAGGCTCCTCAAGAAAGCGCAGAAACCAGTGAACAGTCATCTACAGAGAATACAAAGTCGCGTGCGTTTACTTGCGCGAACGAAAACACAACGGGGCCGCGAGATGAGAGTGAGAAGGGCCTCCCGAAGCAGGCTGCACGGGAGCCGCGTTTTCAAATTCCTCCACCGGAGCCGGCGGCCCAGGCTAAGCACGCGACCCTTCAAGAGGAGCTACCCCTGCCCGCTCCTCCATTCGAATGCGAGCTCGAGGGTTCACTGCCGCCTCCGCCGCCCGAAGTCCTCGCCGCGGTCGTTGCAGAAGATCTGCCACTGCCACCCCCGCCACCTCCGGACACGCTCAAGGACGACTCCAGGCCGCCGTCGTACCCCTCGTCTCCGACGCACGCGAGCCAGCATGGCCAGGAACCAATGGGCGTCCGCAAGCTGCCCTTTCGAGTGAGGACGTTGGACATGCCAGGTCCACCGATATCTTCGTACGCCCCCATTCCGTTTAGGAAAAAGGCTGCGGACGCTCAGCCGTCGCAAGACAAAGTGCAGTGCGACGCGTCTGTGCCTAGGCAAAATAACGATGCCGACGTGGCCAATGCCTCTCCGAACAAGTTGAAGCAACATTTGAAAAACCAGGAGTCATCGTCTGCTGTCACATTGCGAGACATAAACGCCATCAACAAATACCTGGAATCAAACGTAGAACATTTTCACATTACATCTGGCCCAATAGTGCGTCCGGTCATATTCAAACCCGACAAATCCAATCCGCTCGAGACGTCCGTAATCAGCCCGCAACGCACGAGCCCCCAGAAGAAGCCAAAACCGGTCACCAAGAGAGCGTTCAAGACCCCGCTGATGATCGCCGAGGAAAACTTCAAGCGACAGCAAGCCGAGAAACAGAAAGACAAGACTGCCGGCTTGGCGACGAGCACGCAGTGGAGGGACGTGCACAAAGGCCAAGACGATGACGCCGACCGCACTTTGTCAAACGAGGCCGCGTACCCGCACGACAACCCACTGTGTGACGAGAGGACGAGTTCTGCCCACACGGGCGCCCTGATGGCCGCTGAGGGCGCAGCGCAGTGCGTTATTTTCACCAACAAAGCACTCACGAATAATCAGCAGCTCAATCAAAATCCGCAGCGTCCCACAGAGGCGGCAGCGACAACCCCGTGGCATTTGGAGGCAGGGACGCAGCCCACGTCGACGCAGGCGCACGTGGAGCAGCGGTCTGCCTGCGGCGTTCGGCGCACGGCGACGGAGGAATGCACTCAACAGCAAAGCAGCGAGCTCAGTCGCCTGCGGTGCGAGTCGAGCGTTCGAGGAGGCAAGGGCGCTGCTGGCGCGGAGCCACAAGGTGAGTGTCTCGCGGCGAGGAGAGACGACCACGCTGGCGCGCGCACTCATTGTAGCACGCGTCAGCTGCGGGCGTGCGATTGGAAGGATTCGGTTGCGCAGCGCGTCGCGACGGCACCAAAGCCGCCGGCGATTCGCGAGGACGCACGCGCCGCTGGGGCACGCGGTGCGGCCACCACGCAACCCGCGCTTGCCGCTCGCGGCGAGGACAGCCGCGGAGAGTCGGTTGGCGAGATGAACTCCTCAGCAAAAGCGAACGTGGCACGAGGGGTTAGGGAAGGGTGTCGGCAACAGACGTCGTGGCGGTCGCCGACCTTCATTGAGATTAGATCCGTTGCGAGAAAACCGAGGGAAATAGTCAGAGAGGTCCCACCTCTTCCTCGCACATTATTGGTTTCGTTGCCCCTGCTGGGAGGTTTCTCCCGCAGGACGTGCGCACAGTCGCCTCGTCCGCCGCACGATACGCACGAGCCACGCTCTTCGCCAACCGCGTGTCGAGCGGGGGGAGGAGGAGGAGGAGGCACCGCACCGAGCCTGGGGGATGAGCGCCAAAGCAGCTCATCTCGCATGGCCTGCAGCCCGCCCGTGGGTCCCGTCGCCGCTAAACGATCTGCGGCGGTTTCGGCGCCGCTAACGCTCAGGAGACAGCTCAATATTCACTCCACGATCTCCACAGCCAGTGCCAGGACAGTGGACGCAAAGAGAATGAACAAAGAGCAGTCGCTGCCAATTCTGTTGAAGCTTAGGAACGGCAAGGACGACAATATAGCGGAAAAGAGAGCGGTGTGGAGGGGCAAAGACACGATGGGCGTTCAAGGGAGTCCGACACCCAAGAGAAATGTTTCAAAGCAAGTCTGGATCACTTCCTGCGATCCATATAAAGAGAATGTCCCGACTAACAACGCGTCTTTAACGAGCAGCATGGATGAGGATCTCGTCCTCCTGGAGCAGAGCCTGCGAGAGACAGAGCAGCTGCTGCAAAGCATGCGTGAGAGTTCCCAACAGAAGGCGTCCCTAGCCGCCGGGGCCCACCAGCACAAGGCTTCCTCGGCGCCAGGTCTGTGCCGCTGGGATGGGGGCGAGCAGGTCCGCGTGAGACGCACAGCTGAGCAGCATGCGCGTCATTTGGCTGGGAATGAGCTCCGAGCTTCACACCTTTCGGAAACGTCCTCGGCTGGCTGCAGTGAGCATGAAGCACGCAAGGCCGCCCCCCCCCCGCCTGCTCTTTGCAGTTGATGCGCACGCTGTGGCTTTTGCTGCGACGCACCTGCAATTGCTCTATCGTGGGCTTGCTGCAGTGTCTGGTAATGGCAGAGCAGCGGTGCGGCCGGATGCTTTCCATCTGTTCGCTGCACTTTGTGTGTCATCGGTGAGCGACAGACGACGGAATTTTAAAAACAATCTGCTTTTACACACGTTGTGTGGGTATGACGTGAATTAACACATGTTTTAGTGGAAGCAATAATTGTGATGGGTATTAATTTCAAATCCATGCCCAAGTTCTTTTGAAAATCCATTACTGTTGGGGTAACAAGTTTGCGGGCAGCTTCTACAACATACGAGGGAGTTATTTCATCAGCGGAGCTACGCCGATGAAAATTATGTTTACTAAGTAATTCAGCGCCGCTGCGGGAAATCAAAAGACTGACTTCACTCTAACAGTTTTACATCGCCGCACGATGTCAACTTTCAAACGTAACCCCTGCCAAACATTTACAAACATTTACAGTTTGTCAGGATTCCGTTTTCAGACGCAGACAACAATCTTCACGGTCCGAGACAGCAGCAGCAGAAGCAGCTGTTTAAAAATATATGCTAAAAATAAACAGCATTCTCATCTATTTTGTGTAACTCAGCACCACGAAAGCCCTCTATCCACTGTGCTCCTCTGACACCCTCCCAATTCCCCTGCCACAAAACTAATCCCACCGTTGTGGCCTGCCTACAGTTGTTAAAATAATACCCCTTTGGAATTACTTAAGTGCAGAAGACTTGGGCCGGACAGCAGAAGGCAACTTTGAAGGACATTTCCCCCCCGAGTCTCGTATGGAAATAAATGTAAATTATGGGAAAAAAATGTTCACTTCGGTTGTTTAATGCAACCTGCCCCGAGTTCTTCTTGGCAGACAATTTCCCAGATGGGTCAGCGGTAGAGCGAGCGGCTCGCAATCAGAAGGTCGCAAGTTCAAATTCTTGTTTATGGATTGAATCAGCACATCATACCTCCCAGGGTCGATACAATACGTACCACTGGGTGGAGGAATTAACAGTGGTTATCCGACAAATTAAACTCGCCCTCCACCCCGCCCGCCTTGGGAATATGAAAAATCCACCACTATCCCTGGAGAGCTGTAAACAGGGAGCTGATCACCACCTCAATGCTCATTTGAGCAGCAGGAGATCATTTTGACTGCACTTGACAGTTTGCCAATGTCTTCCTAACGTTGAATTCCATGCGTCGCTGATGGGGGTGGGGTGGGAACAGGATCGTGTTCGAGCCACGAGGCGGCTCTGGGCGGCCAGGAGAGGGAGGGCGACTCGGCCGGACCGGGTCCCGCGAGCTTCCCATAGCGGCGTCACTGCAGGAAGGTGAGTCACCCTCCATGACCCCTCCGTGTGCTGCTCGTGGTAGGGGGACGTCCATAAATGACGTCACGCACCTAGGGGGGGGGGGGGGGGGGGGGGTCAGACATTTGTGACGATGTGTGACCAGGGGCGGGGTGGTTGAGAAATATGACGTCACATAAAAATGCACAACTTTTAATAAATATAAACAATACGTTCTACTTAATTGAATAGACTTTTTAATAAACGTTTTCTCCTACAAAATCAGAGTGCAGCGCCACATTAAATAAGCACTACAACGACAATAGTTTAAAGCGATTTGAAGCATGTTTTTTTTTGGGGGGGGGGGGGCGGGCAGAGCTTTGTGACGTCAAATTTGAGGGGGGGTCTGACTTTTTGTGACGTCGTGTGACGATGGGGGGGGGGGTCCAAAATCGTCCAAAATCGCGTGACGTCATTTATGGACGCTCCCCAAGGCGACGCGTCACACACACACCACGTCACCACGTGCAGCAGTGCACAACACGTGATATTCCTCACTTGTAAACCCACGTGCTGCAGAGTGCGGAATCAACGACAGGCTCGAACGCTCGCGACGCGAGTCGTACCTGAAAAGCCCGCTCGGTAATCGGTGGCGGCTCGTGACATGTCCACCAGATGGGGCTGTTGTGAGTGACCTCTGAAAAGACGGTGTTCTCATTAAAAAAAAAACCTCGTCGTGTTTTTGGCCTTCCCGCGAAAGTGATAAAACCGTATTTTCTACCAACGGTAGGCATTTATAAACAATACGAAACAAAACTACAAAGCACTCAAATGCTGTGCCCATGACCCTCAAGTCCTCACTACGCAACCCCTTTGACACTGCCAAAAGCCGTAATCTGCTCTATGTATTTGCACAGTGCACAGTAAACGGAACATGCCAATGTTACGGGACAAACCTTACTAATTGGCTGTGTCGGGTGGTGGCGGGTTTAACGACACATTTATATATTTCAACAATCTAAACCAAAAAAAAACATGTATTATGGATGATATTGGTCGCGAAAGCCTACGCGTTAAACTGACCATCTCTTACATATGTCGCGGCAAAATGTCGCTATCCACAGATCTCCAGCTGACACGCACCCAACTTCGTTTTAATTTCAGGATGAAGGCGGTGGTGGCTGAGGTGAGCCTGGACCCACACCTGACTGCAAGGGAAGCCTCCTCCTCCTCCCTCGAGAGTCTGGACATCAAATCGTCCAGCTGACACAAGACGCATCACATTCACAACTGCTCCACGTCACATTCTAGGACGCAGCAAATTGCACTGATCTAGCAAACAACCAAACGCTGATCAGAACCTTCCACGGACCTGTAGACAATGCATTCGGCCGTACGCCACATTCTCCGTCGCCATAATACTTGAAATATTGTTACCAAGGGGATTATACCATACGTCCGTGTACAACACAAGCATGTACTGGGACTACATTTAGAATTTTCATGCGTCCTGAGAAGTAGGTAGGTCACGTGGGTGAGCTGGGCAGGTGTAGCAGATACTATTAGAGTGCGAAAGCAATGGCAGCTTAAGTTTCTCAATTTTTATTTATTTGAGTTTACCTTCCGTGAGGGCATAATGGTGTCCGGCAATTGCGCCCTGAACCCGGGGGGCCTCGAGTTCAACCCCCTTACCCCCGTCACCGCGGACACGAGCAGCGAGTGCCAATGTGACATGTCCGTCCGGGTGTCCTCCCTCCCCTCCCTCCGACTCACCGACCCACGCCGACCAACGCGGTTAGGCTTGTGGTAAAACAACCTCATCGATGTGACACCGTGTGCGGCGGAGTATGCCTTCGCGAGGGCGGCGGCGGATCGACGACGAGTCGACGAGTTGTCGCTTCGTTGATTCTTTTTTTTGCAGAGAAACACGCGGAAGCCGCGTGCCCCCTTTGTGACGCGCAAAAGCCACGTGACCGATGGGGCATCCGGTGCGCGTGTGAAGAGAGATATCATAGAAACCGTGCCATACGTCGTAGAACCCTTGTGCCATCGCGATTCATTGCTGACAATGTCAGTGTGGTGTAGGAAATCATCGATGATGATGAAGTTAATACAAAATACTCGATTGCCTTGATGGTAGTAACACGGGAGGTAGTGATGCGCGGCTGATGGGGAAGCAGGGGAGTGATTCTGCCACTCCAATAACCGGCAGTGTGGCGGCGTGACGCCCACGCAGCCAAGACGTTTAAGTCCATGGGCCAAACCAGTATCCAGCACCAATACAGCTGACATTTAGTGATACTAATTTATCTATGTATGTATGTATGTTGAACTTCTTTCGCACCGCACGTAGCCAGCCGTGCCAAAAATGAGTTTTAAAGACATGAGTTCGCAACTTCGATTAAGAAGTACATCGCTCCTGTGGCGTCACAATAAGAGTGGATTACATGACAAGGCAAGGTTACCGCACGGGCTACTTTTAATCACGACGTAAAGAGCTTGCTGTCGGGTGGCATCAACAAGTAAAAAAAAGAACGTTTGTGCCCCACGGGCTAAATGCCGCTTTGCTCATTTAGCCCGTGGGCCACGAATGTTGCGCGAACGGCAGCTTCGAGCTGGGAGCGGCGCCTCGACGCAGCGCTCGCTCGACATACCCGCAGGCAGGGCGATCCACTTGTAGACCCCCCATAGAAGTCATTTCGCGACGTAGTTGCTTCTCCACAGACGCAAGGGGAGGGAGGGAGGGTGGCCCCCAAAAACGTTGCAGAGGATTTTTGTCAGCGTGCATTGGGAGATTGGCGGGGAGCCAACACGCGCTTTCTCCATAGTCTCCTATTTGTATTTTGAGCTGGCCGTCTCTGAATGGATCGCCGTGTTTGATTAAGGTCCCGCTCTCACGATATCGTTGCTTAAGATCCGCGTGTCCTGTCTGTTATTCCGCTAAGGAAAGTACATGGGGGTGGGGTGGAGGGGGGGGATTTTTATGTTAAAGGCATGGCGGTCGTGGCATGCAGCACGAATGACGACGATAGCTCTGAAGAGTCGTCAGCACGCCGACGGACAATGCGGCCAATGTATCCCCGTGTCGTGGTATGAGGGCCATCCATTGAGTACGTACGAGTGGAGGGGGGGGGAGGTGGACCCAAATGCGTACGCTAGCGTATAGGGGGTCTACTGACAATGTGCGTACGCATAGGAAACGTGGGGGGGGGGGGGGGGTGAAGCCTCGCTAATAATTTGTCTACATTGGCCTTCAAATGAGCCACAGTTCAGTGTCTCCAGCTGTCAGACAACAAGTACTGCCGGGAGAAGTGGGACTGTGGGAGAGGTGTCACTTCGTGTGCCACCGTGCCCCCCTGACTGCTAACTATCACGCAGCTCAGCAACATCAGTGGCCAAAGTACGCAACTTAAGTCTTTAATGCAGCCGGCGGTGGATTAAATATCGGCCGTTCTATAAGATTCTGGGGGGGGGGGGTGCGTCAGGCGTACGTACGCAGGTGGAGGGGAGGGTAAAGAGTCCGCGTGCCTACAGGGAGGGGTTAAGTTCTGACAGATCGTCTGCGTAACCTACTCAATGGGTGGCACCTATGGCTGCTGTGTTCCGCTGCCAGAGGTGTTCGGCAGTTGCGCTGCCGCGTGTTACCGAGTGCTCTTCGACGCGGTGTCCGACGTTTTTCTTTAGTTCCTGAAGAAGCCCCCCCCCCCGCCCTGAGAAGCGAAATCGTCGGGACGTCGCGCCGAATAGCGCGCGGTCGGATATCACCACCACCATCACCACCACATCAGCACCACCACCATCAGCACCACCATCACCACCAACATCATCACCACCATCATCACCACCATCACCACCACCATCACCACCATCACCACCACCATCATCACCACCATCACCACCACCATCATCACCACCATCACCACCACCATCACCACCATCACCACCACCATCACCACCACCATCACCACCATCACCACCACCAGTCACCACCACCATCACCACCACCATTGGGGGAAGCTACATTACACCATTCAGCACTGATCCCGTGGTTGCTTGTGCTACCAGGAACAAGCAGGCCATGTAGCTTGTTACTAAACTCGGTCGTTCAAGGCGGCGACCTCCACGAGGGCTCCAAGTGGCGCCTTGCGAGCCGCTCGTGCGACGACGACCACTGCGATGCCCATCGGGTCGCGAGTAGATTTGCAATATCTAACCATTTGTATTTACGATTTTACAACAACAATAATATAAGGGATGGGGAGGGGGCTTATTTATATGTGATAACAATTACTTATCGTATTTAGTCGATTGCAGTTACTCTAAGTGGACTTTACGGTCCAAATACAACACGTGTCCCCAACGGGGGTCGCGTCGCTGTGGAACACGGCAGGTGAGTTTCGCTTCACACAACCATCGCTCCCTGCCCTGAGCGTTCATTCCGCTGCAGGCAGCATTGGCCGGGGAAGGCTGCGCTGGGACATTCGAGATTGAATTAAAAATCTTAATAATAATAACAATAATAATAACGATTGTGCCGTGGGGCTGAATACCGTCCGTTGTAACGGGGGCATGCACCAGGTGTGTAGACTGCCGCAAACATTTAATGGAATGCCGGGAGCTAATAGATCGTAGAGCTACAATTAACTCGTTTGTATAATTTATATGGTTTGGTGAACGTATTTTTTTTTGTTCGGAATAATAAACGAAAACGTAGAGCTTCTGTTTAACACGAAGGCGTTGTAATGGTACTTTAGATTTTAACGTTCAAATACTTCGCTGCTGAAAATCTGGAGATTCGCAATCGCCTGCTCCGAGGAGGCCCAGCGAAGCAGATTGTGTCAGCTGACACACCACGGGCTTGCACAACTTGCAGTTTACTTTGATCCGAGATGATTCGTGTTTCGAAATTACTTCAGCTACAGAACTTTGAGCATGTATTTTGTATCGCAGCTAGAATGATAAGCATTAAAACTTTGAAACTCAGTCCCCCGTACTGTGATCTTTTAACATGTTAAGCGTTTTTTCACCCCCCGATTAGCACGGTTGGCTACGTACGACGCGAAAGATGTTCAACATCCATACAAGGTCAAGTCTTCCGATTGCATCAATGTACAGCGGGCACACGTTGAGCTGAAATGTAGAAATCTCAACTCATAACCAAACCTCCTATTCTCACAACCTCTTCATCTCTCCCCTTACATCTTCATTCACCACGTGCTCCTGTTCACCCATTCTGGACCTCACAAGCACCATCTCCACGTGGTCCTCTGAGAACCCCCCGATACATTCTTCGTGGAGTACCTGCTCAAGGATGGAGTTGTCATAAGGATGGAGTTGTGATGACGACGGCAGATCTGTCTCGGTGGAGTTGTGATGAGGGGTTAGGTTGTGACCGAGTGTGGAGCAGTGACGAGGATATATCACGAAAACCGCAGACAAAGATCCCCCGCATAGCCCTAACAGACTGTAGGGGCAAGTGCTGTTAGCGAGTAGCACCTATGAAGGCCAGAACGGCACACGAGGGGGTGGGTGGCCAGCACCACGCCCGGCCGCCTTTGTCTCCCCAGTGGTGATGTTTGCACATCGCAACAGGTACCCATTTAGGGCTGAGTCCACCTAGGAGAGGCCCAGGACCAGTTCAGATATAATCGTCACTGGTGTTGATCACGAGCGAGACTCACACTCGGATCATCTGAATTCGTAGCGCAGTGCGCTAATCGCTATACTGCTTCCCCACCATATCACTGCAAACACCACCATATCACTACAAACAATACCATAGCACTATAAACAATACCACACATCTCCACCATGTCACAACAACACCACGCACGCGCCACACGAGAGGGGAGCCCAGCCTCAACAAAGCGTGGGTTGCCCACAGGGGGAGTTGAGAGTCCTAATGTGAGTGGCTCTGCCTTGTGATAGGCACCACCAGGTCCATCCGCGGTATTCACGAATACAACAAACATTGTTTAAAAGTCAAACCGGTCCTTCAGGTTTGTGAAATGCGGCAAAAAATGTGACAATGTTTGAAATAAACTGAGGAACGTAAGAAGGCTCAGGTCCATCTCAGAGTACATACAGTAAGCACTACAAACCTGGCTTTTACTGGTAGGAACCCACTGGTTCCACCAACCCACAGGGGATTATTGTGTCCGTCCGTCCGTCGTGCAGGGAGGGGCTGGGTGGGGAGGGTGGGGCTGGGTGGGGGGTGGGAGGGGCTGGTCACCCCGTGGTGTCCTTATAAAACTCAACGTTTAACCTACTCACGCCGGCTTGTGCCCACCCTCACAGTTGGGTATATTTGCGGAATACACCACGCCGCCGTTGACCCTGGCCATTGACCGAGCAACCCAACGTTCCTTCCAGCTCCCCCCGCAGGAATGTGTTAACCCAGGTTCCGAGAGCACACCAGGAACTCCACGTGCAGTGAGCTGGAAAGTCCCAGCCCTGTATCCGGCTATGAGCGAGCCTAAATTCGAGGGAAATGGAAGCTAGACGAATACTTCTAACAGAGTTAGCAGGGCTGTGCAGTGTTGGTATGAAAGGGTTCCCACCTGATATGGCAGTGGCGTCACCTTACATGTTCTCACTGCAGTGCTGAGAACTTCTGAAAATCGGTCACTCACCTAATGACCAATGTTTCCATGCATAGACACACATGCATGCGTCACACCACCGTGTTGGATATGAAGATACTTTTGAAGTGTGAATAATTAATAGCAATTGACAACGATTGCCATCGCTGCCCCTTGCCTCTGAAAGTACCGTCTCATTAGGGAAAACATACTGAATGTGAATCAACTAATGACGATTGCAGCCGTGTTTAATTCACTTTAAGTTGACTTTATTAATACTTATGTATCAATTATAATCACACGAGAACAGATTTTTCCTTTATCCCTTTATTTGTTATTCTGGCAGAGTAACTGCATGAAAATATGCAACAAAAAAGATACCCTAAACAATTTCTTAAGCGCAACGACAAAAAGAAACACCCGCACTGCGTTCAGCACACGTCCCGTACCTCTTGCCAAGCTTGCAAGAGCTTCGGCGAATTGTAATGCCTTAAAAAAATACTATTCTGTGTGAAACGGATGAATGCATCAGATAAAACATGCTGGAGCACATTCTTTTTTCAACCACCAAAAAAAAGTCTAAGTACAATAACTTCCTCGCTGTACAAAATCGAGACATTGAGATGAAGTTGCTGAACGATGTGCAAATGGCAACAGGTGGGTGTACTGTCCACCGCTTTTTCACTTCGTCTTCAGCCATGACCAATCCACTGCTGGATGAAGGCCACCACACTCTCGTGGCAATGTGGGCTGAAGGCAGTGAGCTAATTCCCGAGGGTGAGGGAGTGCAGTTTAACATTGTCTGCCCACAATGTAGCCCTGTAGCCTTGAAACTCCTCGTATGCATGGTGGTCATCTAAGCATTATTCACAAGAGAGGGGGGGACCAAGATCTGTTCCAATGTCACTCGCCACCAATTTTAGCCGTGGTCACAAATCACAATTCAGCCCGCGGGGGGGGGGGGGGGGGTTTGCAGCACGCCGTGTGAACCACTGCGCTTACCACCACTGCCCCGCACGTCCGACTGCACCAGCCAGTGTGTATATATATCAACAATAATACACCAAATCGTCATATTGGCAACTATGCAGAAACTGTTAAATTATTTTTGTCACGAGACATTCGCCTCCACGTAACTACGAAGTGTGCGGCGAGCGTGCCCGTTGCTTGCTGTTCCCAAGCGATGGTTGCTTGCTGCTCCCAAGCGGTGGTTGCTTGCTGTTCCCAAGCGATGGTTGCTTGCTGCTCCCATGCGGTGGTTGCTTGCTGCTCCCAAGCGATGGTTGGTAGCTGTCACCAAGCGGTGGTTGCTTGCTGCTCCCATGCGGTGGTTGGTAGCTGTCACCAAGCGATGGTTGCTTGCTGTTCCCAAGCGATGGTTGGTAGCTGTCACCAAGCGGTGGTTGCTTGCTGCTCCCATGCGGTGGTTGGTAGCTGTCACCAAGCGATGGTTGCTTGCTGTTCCCAAGCGATGGTTGCTTGCTGCTCCCAAGCGATGGTTGGTAGCTGTCACCAAGTGGTGGTTGCTTGCTGCTCCCATGCGGTGGTTGGTAGCTGTCACCAAGCGGTGGTTGCTTGCTGCTCCCAAGCGGTGGTTGGTAGCTGTCACCAAGTGGTGGTTGCTTGCTGTTCCCATGCGATGGTTGGTAGCTGTCACCAAGCGGTGGTTGCTTGCTGCTCCCAAGCGGTGGTTGGTAGCTGTCACCAAGCGGTGGTTGCTTGCTGCTCCCATGCGGTGGTTGGTAGCTGTCACCAAGCGATGGTTGCTTGCTGCTCCCATGCGGTGGTTGGTAGCTGTCACCAAGCGATGGTTGCTTGCTGTTCCCATGCGGTGGTTGGTAGCTGTCACCAAGCGATGGTTGCTTGCTGTTCCCATGCGGTGGTTGGTAGCTGTCACCAAGCGGTGGTTGCTTGCTGCTCCCATGCGGTGGTTGGTAGCTGTCACCAAGCGGTGGTTGCTTGCTGCTCCCATGCGATGGTTGGTAGCTGTCACCAAGCGATGGTTGCTTGCTGCTCCCATGCGGTGGTTGGTAGCTGTCACCAAGCGGTGGTTGCTTGCTGCTCCCATGCGGTGGTTGGTAGCTGTCACCAAGCGATGGTTGCTTGCTGTTCCCATGCGGTGGTTGGTAGCTGTCACCAAGCGGTGGTTGCTTGCTGCTCCCATGTGGTGGTTGGTAGCTGTCACCAAGCGGTGGTTGCTTGCTGTTCCCATGCGGTGGTTGGTAGCTGTCACCAAGCGATGGTTGCTTGCTGTTCCCATGCGGTGGTTGGTAGCTGTTACCAAGCGGTGGTTGCTTGCTGCTCCCATGCGGTGGTTGGTTGCTATGCCCATGCGGTGGTTGGTTGCTGTCACCAAGTGGTGGTTGGTTGCTATGCCCATGCGGTGGTTGGTTGCTGTCACCAAGTGGTGGTTGGTTGCTGTGCCCATGCGGTGGTTGGTTGCTATGCCCATGCGGTGGTTGGTTGCTATGCCCAAACGGTGGTTGGTAGCTGTTCCCATGCGGTGGTTGGTTGCTATGCCCATGCGGTGGTTGGTTGCTGTCACCAAGTGGTGGATGGTTGCTGTTCCCAAACGGTGGTTGCTTGCTGTGACCAAGAGGTGGTTGGTCGGGCGACGGCAGAAGCACGTTGTAGTGTCGGTCGTCCTCGGTGACGATTGCGACCTCGGGTCGCTCTACCGCGCCCCCACCACGTGCAGGTTCGCTCTCCGGGTAGCACACCTGAAATTCCTCCGTGCCAAACATGTACAGCCGAAAGGCACGGATGGTGATGCCCAGAGTGTAGCCCAGGAGGCACATCTCCACCTGCGAACAAGTGTACGCGCACCACAAAGGCAGCGACAAAAGCAAGTGTGAACCCCGGTCCATACGTAGCGATTTTTTGTTAAAGCGATAACAGTGAGCTGTTGCCAAACATTGTTGCCCGAGTCAGTCTGTGAAGGCTGATGAACTGCTGTTTCGAATTATATTTCAAGGTAGGGTCTGGCATGGGCCAATCAGTTATGATCATGTATAGCACGCTTGATGCCACACGAGACAACCGTGCAATCGTTTCAGGAGGGGTCACGTAAAGTGACATCGCATCACTTTAAATACCCAACGATTCTCTATTCTAACTTGGATGTTCCGTAAGACGCTCGCAGCGATTCGCCGGTTCAAACAGGTGAACCATTACGCGGGCGTTGCTTTGTGTTGCCCGGTAAGAATCGCTACACGTAGGCCAGGCCAGGCCGAGGATGGCGATGGCTGGACTTGCATCGCCGCAGGCTCAACCTCGTCGCCAGGCGCCCCGCGCTCACGCACGCGGCGCAAGGTTCGTCCATCTCAGCATGTGCGCCAACCACAATCTCACCTGTTCCAGGCCGCCGGAGCTGCCCACGTGGTTGAGGTGATTGAGCAGGAAAGAGTGGGGGTTGAGCGACGTCTCGCGCGCAAACATGAGCGTGGCAAAGAGCGGCACGTCCTCCCCGACGCTTCTGCATTTCAAAGAGGTCCATCGCCTTCCACAGCATGAGCAGCTTCACAGCCTCATAAAGGCGCCACTCAGTCACGCCCAGCTGGTTGAAGAGATCCTTACAAAAGTTCTCTGTATCGGCTAGCTGATAAGTGTATGCCTTCAGCCACTGCGGGTCATCATTGTGCACAAACGAAGGGTAATATGAGAAAACGCATCAACTGCTTTAATCATATAACGAACCTAAACTGCTTAATGAAATGAATTCACACGTGTAAATGTCACTAGCTTGTGTATACTTCAATAATTCGATGTTATTAACAGAAAAACCAAAATATATCTCAACATAGATTTAACAAAAACTCCAAAGATTGTATACAGTGTCAGAGTGAAAGGGATTGTCGGGACCCCTACCTCATTCTTTAGGTTTTGCAAGCAGATAACCAAGCTCGCCTGGTTGCGCCTGTCCTTGGCTTCACGATTAGCAAAGGTCCAATTTTCAATGAGCCCTTTATTTCTCTGATTTAATAAATTTGGAAGCTGAAAAAACAAAACCACACGGCATTCAGACTGGGGTTTTGGATAGACACGAAACGATGTCCACTGCAGGGCACGTGCGCAAGTTTTACCCACCTCGGTTATCTGCACCGTGGAGTCAAATATCTTAATTTGTTTACAAAAAGCCTGAAAGAGCGTGGCCCTCAGCCCACAGTAGTTGTCTCCCCTCACTCTCCGTATGTCAAAGTAGCCTTTGCTGGACAGTTCCAGGTACGCCTGCATGGGTGAGAAACATCACGACACTGGGATGTAATTACAGGACTTGCCTGAACGACTTCAACTAAAACTCATAAATCGGAGAGGAAAATGAGCATGTGCCATCTGCGTCCGTGCGTGCACCTTTTTAATCTTTTTGGTTTTAGCCGTGGACCCTTTCCATTCCTGACACGAATAATCAACCAATTCTCTCCTTTCTCCAATCGATATTTTGTCTGGGGGATAATTCATGTTAATGTGATTAAAACAACAGTGCATGTTCAAGCATACACCAAGCGACACAATCAATGCACATGTTTGGGTTGCTAGCACAATATCTCTGCGAGGAAATGTTTCACAGAGACTGCAAACAAATGCCCCTCGGCTTCTTGGGACGCATTGGGATCATTCACAATAAACAGCATAATCATCCTCTCCGATGGGGATGGCGCACCCATCAATGACCCTGCCTCGGAGACAGCGGCACAAGCGGCGCAGCACGGCAATGAGAGATCAGTAGTGGCCCAAGTAATTCACCAATTTAACTTTGTACCAGAATCACTTGGCAGAAGTCAGCTTTACGTGCATAGATGGGTGGCAGAAATAGTTTAAACCGTTATTTACCAACCCTCGTTTTACCATTGTTTTGAAGTACCTCCAACAATACAATAGGTACATTACTAAAAACAATCCTTCAATTAAACTGGTAATAAGGATGGCAATTACCTATTGTACCTTCACTCCGATACATATCTTCCTCCCTTCAAGAAACGTAAAACACAGCAACATTAAAACAATTCAAAAGCACAACATATTTTAATAAGGCAATACAAAATAATTAACAGGCCATTGTCAACTCACTTCTGGATTAAGGGCTCCCAACGCCACATCGATTATTGGGATTGTTTTACTAAGCTTCATCATGCTGGTCAGTGCAGGGATGGTAAAAAGGTGGCCCACACCAGTTCATACATCACTTGCTTTGATATTAGCCATAGCTGGGAGCCAAACTCGCCACTCTACATGTTCCAAAAAAATTAGTTGGAGATGTTTTAATTGAATAATGTACAGTATGTTTAAAAACAAAGTGTGATTACAAAATAAACAAATAAACTGTTTGGGGATTGTCCCTTTACAATCAAGTTAATCTCATTACGAATTTCACCATTTGGGCTTTTCCACATCTATATACAATATTCCTTCTGTTGAAAAGGGTAGTCAATATTTTCATGCCTTTGCTGGCTGTGAATTCTCAAAGGCACTCTCATCTCTAATTCCTCATGAACGACAAACTAACCAATCTTATCGACTCTGCATATTTGATTTGCGTTTGTATTAGACACCCATTATGATGTTATAATTCACTTCATCTTAATTTAGTAGGGGATACTTTATGTATACATTTAGCGTATTTTATCATCATATCATTGTCCCAACAAATTCAAAGACTACCTGAAAATAACAAAGGTTAAAATGTCTTCGATAAGCAAATCCGATAAAACGAATGTCACCACTTTTATGGTAGCCTAATAATGTAATAGATAACATACTGGCATATCAATGTTATGGACTGTGCATTTAAAGTGGTGGGAAAGGTTGAAAATCAGAAGAAGAGTCATACGCTGAAAAGTTTGCAATAAAAACATGTATACGCATGCTTGAAATTACCGTGATAGATAGAAAGAGGGACAGATGGGTGAGAAAAATATGCTGCGTGAGACAAAGTGATTGCCAAGTAAAGTCGGAAGCGATGATGACCGGCGGTGGAGCTTAATGACGGAGTGACAGCCAAAGGTGAGGAACGCACTCAAGAGTACGGTAACCACGGAGAAAACAAGAATGAAATCGGCTCTTGTGCAGCTGCTAGATAGACGGTTACATTGAAGGTTCGTGGGTGATGGCACACATTCATAGTCAGAGACAGAGCTCACAACTCACTGGTGGGAGAGGCTCTGAACCAAACCACTCTCGTCTTGGTCGTCGGTATGAGGCCCGTTTCCCCCGCCCTGCGGCGGCCTGCCGGTGGTGTCATTCCACCTTTCCTGAATGTGCTGTCTTTCCCTCTTCTTAGGATAATCTTCTTTGTAATCCAGGTCTTTGTGGCCTTTGGCAGCATTGCCCATGTGGTGGAGTTCATCCTTGCCGCCCTTTTTTCCAGTCTCGCCTTCACCGCTGTGGTCAATATGTTTTGTATTAAAATACTATTATATTGTTGGTACCTTATATATATATCTTTTTTATGTCACCTTGTGCTTATGCACCACTTCCAATGCAATTAATTATAATTGTTGTTGATGGAAAATATTTTTTTTTAAATACCTTTAAAAGAAAAGGTGTAATGAGTGAGATTCTCTGATAACAAATTAAACTTTGGGTACACAAATTCAAAGAAATGAGAGATGAGCAGGGGGGATACTTTGAGAACAGCATGTACTTGATTACATCAGTAATAATGCGTTCAATGCTGTGCAATGTTTTGCCTCTGTTGATATGTAAACTCTGACTTTAATATAGCCACTTCCGTGACCAGTTACATGCCAATTCCACACATTAACATCATGCTAATCCCCCAGTTCCATGCTAATTTCTGACTTTAACATCCTGCTAATTCTCTCACGTTAACACAGCTTATTCAATGCTAAATTCTTCTGTTGATATGTAAACTCCTTTGTCAAGGCGCTCTTCTCCTACCACCCAGCTTAAAATACGCTGCCAAGCTGAGCAGTGTTCATTGGAGCGTTGTCTTTCAGCTAGCTCTGTCTTCACCTGAGGACGGCTGCTTGTGTTGTGGCCGAAACGTCGTAAGAATTTAATTAGATGTTTTATTTTTATTATTTTATTATTTCCCTTCTACGTGACTTTACCGAAAGAACCAAGAAGACGAATCCCTGCAGTCACGAAAGCTTTAAATCGAAATTTATGTTTTGATTGTTATTCCAATGTAATAAGTAGCGCATCTTATAGAGTGTTAAATTATTTGGGCCTATCATATTAAACAATAAATCACGTTGAATATGCAACATCTCCCGGTTACGGCTCCAAAACACACACAAAGCATCTCAGACGTCCGTCTGCTCAGCGAATTAAATTAAAGAGAGTGCAATTGTTTCTAACAATAACGGTACGAGGGTGTATGTAAGGTGTTTGTTTTTACCGTTGGTGGATTGTTTCGCGATCGTCGTGAAAAACTTTGCTCCCAATGCAGCCAGTTAACGACTGACCCATCTCCGACTCTCCTGCCGCCTCAGGCCAATGCTCAGTGCTCAAGTCGTATGTGCCTGCGTCTCCCTTCAAATCGCTCTCTTCGGGTGGACTTTCAGAGGCAATATTCTCATTGCTGTTAGCGTAACTCTTGCTCTTAGCGAGTCGGCGCTGCTGTCCCGAGTCTTGGGGGGTAAGGTCGCCCTGTTCCTTTACCGTGCCACAGACTTTACAGGGAATGGCTGAATGGCTGTTGCCAACAGCTGTGTCACTTAAATCATCAACATTTGAAGGTTTCACTTCTGACTTGTTGGTGTCAATTTCCGAGCTAGCAAAGTCCTTCCTGGCCCCAACCTTGCCTCCGAGGCTGGAGTTTTCATCAACACTTGCCATTACTTGAGTCACCACCTGCAGCCAAAAGACACACATCAGTGATACTGAACCAAAGTGATTGTAATTTCATATACTCAGCTCTACCTGTCACCTGTGTCAGACAAGTGAATGGCTCCTTCATTTCAGTAAAATCGCCAACACATCTTTATCCCTCAATGAAGTTAAAATGTTTGACAGAACTATGAAAATGATTGGACGTATTGAGCAACATGTGTAAAACTGAGCGCATTCAGAAATCTATTCACAGACATCAGAGGACATTCGTGAATTTTAGAACGATGACAACTTTCACATTGGTACCATAGCCACGACTACAACTCCACACCTCACCCGTGAACACAAAGCTGACCCCAGATGTTTGTTCACTACAGCACTCACGCACCCTTACACACGAATAACATGTGTTCACTACAGCACTCACTCACCCTTACACACGAATAACATGTGTTCACTACAGCACTCACTCACTCACTCACCATTACACACGAATAACATGTGTTCACTACAGCACTCACGCACCCTTACACACGAATAACATGTGTTCACTACAGCACTCACTCACCCTTACACACGAATAACATGTGTTCACTACAGCACTCACTCACTCACCATTACACACGAATAACATGTGTTCACTACAGCAATCGCCCCCTATTACCTGTGATCACGACAGCACTCAGCCTATTACCTGTGATACTACAACACTCGCCCCTATTACCTGTGATACTACAACACTCACCCCTATTACCTGTGATACTACAACACTCGCCCCTATTACCTGTGATACTACAACACTCGCCCCTATTACCTGTGATACTACAACACTCGCCCCTATTACCTGTGATCACTACAACACTCGCCCCTATTACCTGTGATACTACAACACTCGCCCCTATTACCTGTGATCACTACAACACTCGCCCCTATTACCTGTGATACTACAACACTCGCCCCTATTACCTGTGATCACTACAACACTCGCCCCTATTACCTGTGATCACTACAACACTCGCCCCTATTACCTGTGATCACAACAGCGGCCTAGTCGGGGACGAGGAAGGAAACTCGCCCTGATGTTCAGGCCCTTGGGGATGAGAATTGTTGAGGGCGGCGGAGGGCAAGTGTAGGGAGGGAGGGCAGTGCAGAGTAGCGAGGGGGGGGGGATCGAGGGCGCAGTTCACAAGGACAGGGGGCAGGCGAGGGCAGCAAGGGCAGCCGCGAGAGCGCGCGGGTGTCGGCCTTGCAGCTCGGAGACGATTCAACGAGGGCGAAGGGTCGGGGGGCAGCGGGAGAGGCACGGATAGGCGACACGAGTGAGGAGGGTGATGGGGCGAGCAGTCGAGGGGGGTAGCGAGGGGATAGCGATGGGGCAGCGATGGGGGCAGTGATGGGGCAGCGATGGGGCAGCGTCACTCACCGCCAGGAAATCATCGCGACGACGACGACGCCGCCACCTCCTCCTCCTCCTCTCACCCGGAAGCAGTGGGCGCCAGCGGTCACGTGGCGCGCGTTACGCGGTGACGTCACGGCGGCCCGGCACGAGGGAGGCGTGAATCCGATGAGCTGTGAAGCTCTTTGCTCGTTGAGTTTGTCTCTCCTTCGCAGACGTGGGCCACACACACCACCACTACTACCACCACTACCACTGTCTTCAGGTGCTCATGCAAAGTGTCATTTACTTATTTATCCAGCAAGAAGGCTCGCTGATTCGTTAATAATTTTTGTTTTTCTTTAATTTTTTTTTTAAATGTCCGGGCAATAAATGACGAGTTGTGTTTATTATACCACGTGGGAGGGGGGAACCGGAGGGAAACACTCCCTCCCCGTACCGATGTGCACAGATGGAGATGAGTCCACTTTGCTGTACCGCCTTCTCCTGGCGAGCCAGGGACAATGGAAGGAGAGTTTGGTAACATCTGTGCGTGGTCCACCAACCCCCTCGTTGCCTCCACAGTGCTGGGTTACAGGCCGCGTGCGACATAGCCAACCACTGCTTGGCTTTGCTAATGAGAGAGAGAGAGAAATAATGACGTTCAAATCACGTCCTCGAATGCGCTGCAGCTGCACCTCCGCAACAACTCTTCAATTCAATGTCGTGAGCGAACGCGTTGCCCTCGTTCAAAATCACAAGCGGAACTTCACGTTGGTGTTGAACGGCCCAGGATAGACATCCTATCCACGCAGCTATATATATAAGGAGCTTAATAGCTCATCGGATTCCTCCAGAATAAATAAATTCATATTCTTGATTCTGTTCAGTTGATCTGCCAGGGCAGACTTTCGATGGCGAAAGGGCTTCACAGGAGACCATCCGTGTCGAATAGAGGAGACCGCACCACGACGCCACACCTCACGACATCAGAGACTCTTCCAAGGCTCAACGGGGGTGGGGGGGGGACGACGACACACACGCGGCGATCCGGAATCCCCTCCATCCCTCAGCCAGCCCCATCCCCACTCGTATCCAGCAGCAGCAGCTGTAGTCGTGGAGAAACTCAATGCACACACACCGCTGCCAAAGCCCGCGCCGCTACAACACCCACGACGCCTGCTCTGCCGTTGATGTGTGCCATCGCCCACGGACCTTCGATGTGACCGTCTGTCTAGCAGCTGCACTAGAGCCGATTTCATTCTTGTTTTCTCCGTGGTAACTGTACTCTCGAGCGCGTTCCACACCTTTGGCTGTCACTCCGTCATTGAGCTCCACCGCCGGTCGTCATCGCTTACAACTTTACATGGCAATCACTTTGTCTCACGCAGAAATGTTTTCTTACCCATCTGTCCCTCTTTCTGTCTCTCACGCTAATTTCAAGCACGCGTACACATGCTTTATTTTTATTTTATTGCGCACGAGTCGACAACGAGCACGCGACATTTTATAACCGGTGACAACAACCATTTACTTCGGGGCAGACACGAGCCTTTCAAAGCAGGAACTCGTGGAAGCTTTATTATCGGTTGAAATAAAAAAAACACACACAAAAAAGACTTTTATTGGGGAAAACAACAGCGGTGGAATTTCCGGCAAAAATCGCGCGGAACTCCGGTGTGGTTTTCACACCTGATGATGATTGCTTGTGTTGAAATCGAAACGTCGTGAGAATTTGATTGTTGTATTTTTACTATTTTATTGTTTCCCTTCTACATGACTTCACCGAAAGAACCAAGAATATGAATTCCTGCAATCACGAAAGCTTTAATCCGTAAGGGTTTTAGCTCGCCACTCGCCAAGGGTGCGGAGACACTGACCCCCTGCGGATTGTTCGTCGGTGAACATCGTCTAGTTCTACAACGCTTCTTCAGCACGCTGCCACGTGGACACACCTTACGGGGGGCAGAGGTTGCTTTGACCATACTTCGCCGCGCTGGTCACTGCGGGTTGGTGAAGGCGGGGAGCATAGACGAAGGGGAGGGGGCGTGCACGTACAGTACAACAATCAACTGTCCTCTGCTGCCCAGCCTATAACGCCTGTTACACACGGTGTTCGCTCAGCCAAGCACTGTCCAGGCCCCAGCCTGCTTAGCCTCGGAGATTTGGCAAGATCCGGCCTGTTCCCGGTGAATTGGTGACATTAATTCAATGGAATCTGTATGTCCAGTGTTATACACACACACACTCATTTCAAGTATGTATTTTCAGAGACTTGCTTACCTTTTCTATACACCGCACGCGTTTAATGCATTGTTTGTTCGCTGTAACTGTCTGTGAAAAACAGATCTTCATAGCTCATCGGATTCCTCCCGGATAAATGAATATTCTAATTCTGCTGTGATGATTGCAATCCGCGGGGAAGGGCGTTATAAAGGTGAAGCGGGGGGAGCTGTCAACCGCTCGACCGCAGCGGTTACGTCACTAAGCCGGCACCGCTGAAAGCTGTATTCAAATCTGGGGTTCAGTCCCTCGCCTTGTGAATACAGTGCACCGGAGTTTCCACGGTCAAGCGAGTCGATGGACGGACGCCTCATCACAAACGACCGCGCTCAACGAGAAGACGCCGCCCTCCCACCCCCATCGCGTTCGGTGGTTCGCTTCACGTGGTGGCAACAACAATAACAACAACAGCAACAACAAATTCCAACCACGTCGGTGCGACGATAATTCTGTACGGGCGGCGGTGGCAAGTGCAGCGGCCGCCTCCCCCCCGCCCCAATGTGAATGTGCCGGCTACTTGCAGGGGGTGATCGCAGAAGCAGGATTGTGACATCACCTCCTTGAGCGGACCGTCCTACAAACGCAGGCTACAACGCGCTGCTTTGCGAAAGATCTGAACGGCCAGCGTCAGTGACATCACGCCGCAAATAAATGTTTTAGTTTTTTTTGTTTTATACGATCACAAACCGGTGGACGTGGCCTGCAGGGTGGGTGGGTGGGTGGGCGCTCACGCGGGGAGGGGAGAGGTGGTGCAGTCGCTGTCCGCCGGCGTGGGGGTGCTGAATACTCGACCGAGCTGGCCACCACACGCAGCGAACGCGGGTGACTGTCGGGCGAGCCGTCAGAGCCGTGGGCCCAGCGGCAACACCTTCAGCGTTACGCGCTGCAGTCACTACGCCGGTGTTTTGTCAGGTGAGCGAGTCATGATTTCGGCAATTTGTTCGCGAACGGCACGGCCACCGTTGTTTGTTGTTGTCGATGTTGAACACAACACGAGGGGTATCGAACATGAGAGCGTGCGGCAAGGGATGCGTGCATGTGCACTCGTGCTGCCTACGTGCACGCGCGCGCGCGTGTGTGTGTGTGTCTATTATGCTCTAAGCCGTTCGCAAGCCTGCGTGCCAAGACGCTGCTGTTGCTGGGGTCCGGTGCGCTGTGCTTGTGCTCCGGCTAATGGAGCCGCAGCCCGAGCTCGTGATTACCCCCTTACGATAGTGCTGCTGTTGCCCGCGCGGCTCGGCCGTCCATTGCGCAGCACCGAGAAAGGGGCGAGGGGAGGGTGGGTAAGGGGGGGGGGACCTGCCTGGGACGGCCCCTGTGCTGGCCAGCAACCCCATCGGCTCCCCCTTCTCATCTTGCTCCTCCACGCTCAGCCCCCACCCCCCCCGGCTCCTCCGTTCAGGAGGCGAGAGGGAGGGAGCGGCCGTGAGTCGGCGGGCGCAGGGAGATGGAGGCTGAAGGATTCTGATTTGGGGCTGGGCGGAGGGAGGCGCAGCCGCGAGGTGAGGGGAAGAGAGGAGGGGACGGACGGGGAGAGCGAAGGGGCTCTTCGCCGGCGCAGGCGGGGGAGCTGCTGCGCGGAGAGCACGCACAGAGACGCCCCCGAAGGAGCGCGGCGGTACGTGTGGGGCTGTACGTGTGGGGCGGTACGTGTGGGGCTGTACGTGTGGGGTGGTCGGTGTGGGGTGGTCGGTGTGGGGCTGTACGTGTGGGGCTGTACGTGTGGGGCTGTACGTGTGGGGCTGTACGTGTGGGGTTGTACGTGTGGGGTTGTACGTGTGGGGCGGTCGGTGTGGGGTTGTACGTGTGGGGCGGCCGCTGTGGGCGACTCGTGGAGGGAAATGGAGGCTGTGTTTGGCCATCGCGTCGGTTGTTGGAGTGCGTCGGCCGTGTCGGGCTTGTTCTATGGTATATACGAACTCGGCTCGCCTTGATGCCTTCGGCTCTCGTTCTCAGTTCCGCCCTCGGGGCAGGGATCTGAATATGTGCTTTGGGGAGGGGGTGGGTGGGGGGTGGCTCATATGCGTAGGGGTCAAATGCATACGGCCGATGGAAATGAAATCTCAGCGCGAGAGACCCGGCAAGGGAGCCGAGATGATGAATTGCGCCGTGTTCCCGCAGAGGCCGGCCGCCCGGGCAGCGTGCGCGCCTCCTTTGCGTTTCGCCGTGCGCGCACCCGCCCACGTACGACACGGACATCATCGTCGGACTTCCGTGCGGTTGCCGGATGACGTTTAATTCAATATCGTGCCTCGCAAAGGCATCCATCATGTGCCGTGATGCGTAAGGAGGGGGTTGGGGTCACGGGGCCCCTGCCTCCATTTTGCTGGTCCTCTCTGCGAGTCTCTCTCCTGGCTACGAATGACGCCGCCAAACTCACCTGGGTTCGAGCCCCGCGCGTGGTCGTATCCCGGTTTTTTTTTTACCGTGGGACGCTGCTCGTGACCATTGGTGGCTGAGCGACGCTTATCACACCGCCGTCCACCATGAGCTGCGGCAGATTGCATTTCGCTCTGCCCGCTATCTCGCTACAGGGGGCAACCTCGGCACGACCGAGCAGCCAAGGAGCACGCCGTTTCGCTTGCTCGGCAGCGTGCGTGCGAGCCGGTGGCGAGCAGGTGCACGTCCCACGATAGTGGCTCGAGAGCGCTTTCAATTAGTGCGCTTTGTTTCCTCGAGGAATGCGGCAGTAATGAGCAGGGGCACATTACGCCCACCGTGCACTCAGGAGCGCTGTAAACACAGGCGTGGGTGGGGGCCACACGAATGTAATGGATTCGAACGAAAACACCGGCCTAGAAATAACACAAAAAAAACCCATCTGGCGATCGCCGGTTGCGATGTTTTAACTGCTCTGATGATTTATTCTCAACATTGGTTTGATGAGCAGCCTCAATTGGCTGTCAAAACAACACCGGCTCCTATGCACGCGGCCCCCCAGCACTGCTCAGATTTCAGATTCTGTCTCCAGACGTTTAGTGCGCTTTACACTCTCATGTATCTTAACGTAGAAGGTTGGCATAGACAGGGAACTAAATCATGGGTATGTGAGACAGGATGAGAGGAGGTGCTGTATATAAGATGGAATTATCTGCTCATTCTTGCAGTGAAACATGGCAATCATGGTGCATCGTCAGGTTCACTCACTTCACAATATTATACAACGGCTCAACCCACCACGCCATACCCCGAGGGTACACGCGTTAATTTAAATGCGTGCATCGAGGAAACGGGCGAGGAAGTGATTGGTGTAGGATTTCATTCGGCTGATGCTCTGTGTGCCTGGATAGTGGGAGAGGGGGCAGCGTTTGTCCTGCGTCGTGATGGGGTCAGCTGATTGCCTGCCCCTGCGAGAGACGGCACCGTGCGCGTTGTGTCACAAAGCACTGGTGTTCTGACGTCGGATGGTGGTGTAGGCGCAGAGCTGTTCGAGGCTGATGTCGTGTCGTGGTCGTTATGGATTTAATAATGTCCGGTTGGGAGACCGTGAAACGGAATCCCACCCCATCGCCTTTATTTATGCGTAGCTCCAGTGGAGAATGACTAACATTGTCCTGCTGCGAGATGGAAAGAATGGGCGATAATGCGAAGATAAGGCGGCACAAGACACACTTGTGACAGGCTTTCACTCAATGTGAGCCAAACAAATAAATAAAGCAATCTGCTTATACGAATACAACTGATTAATGCAGCATGTTTTTTTACCAATAACTCAATACGATTTCACCAGGACTGTGCCTCTTATGTATTGGTTCCATTAACATTCATCAGTATTCATCAATAATGGAATTTTAAACTATATTCCCGTGAAATTTCACACTGGGAGCAGTGCTTCGTGCATGAACACGCTGCTGCTGCTGCGTGCGTGCGTGCGTGCACTTTACCCGAAGTACAAACTAACAAATGTAACACTTGTACTGAGCTCATGCATCCTTTACCCGCCCATTAAACCAACCTTACAGTGGCAGTGTGTTTAAATATTAAATCCTAAACCGACAAACACAATAATTTTACGCAGTTTTAACGGCCCATCCTTCATTCACCCCGTATCACATTGCTCTAAGTAATCCGCAGTGTGAACTGCGGTAAGGTGTGAAGGTTTCACTCCCCGTGTGTTATAATCTCAGACCGGTATTGATTTGATTAAAAGGGGTAACGATGCGGCCCCGCAATCTACGCGCACGTGCCACTGCTCGTATAAGGGCCTCCACAAAGAGGGGGCTCATGGGAGCCCATATGGGTGGTATTTGGCCTACTCTTCCATGCTGGCCTCTTCGAAGAATCATGAGTATCCACACTTTACTCCATCACGCATCTCCGATTATCACGGTTGGCTATGTACATTCAACATACGCCGACCTATCGATCCACCGTCGTGTATCCGTTTATACCGCTGGATAGGCAGAGGAGAGGGGATTTAAGAAACCTCGTCGCCGTTGCCTTGACTGCCGCGCCGGAAGATCGACTCCGACCAGCGACCAGCGTCGCTAACCGTGACAATCGCGGCAGCTGTCCCATCGGTCCGGTGCGCGTGCTGCGTGTGGACGGTGACACTGCTCGACGCGGCGAGGAGGGAGGCCGAGCGCTTGGCTCGGTGGTTCCGGAGAAGACCGCTTCGGCACAATTCCGCGACCAAAGCGAGATCTTTATTGCGGTCCGCACAAAAAGGACCAGCGGACCTTCACGGAGGCTGCTGCGTCGTTTCTCGCCGAGGAGCGTAAACCACCGTCACGCGAAATCCGGTCATCCTCAGCAGCGGTGGCTTTTTGTCTCACCATCGAACAAAGGCCGGTGGTGGTCACCGCATCGCGCGCGTTCAGATGCGCGGCTTCTGCGACCGTCTGGAACGCTCTTCCTTCCAGTATTAGGAAGCCACTGAGAGCTACGCGCTTTAAAATCACCCAGATTGACAAACTCATTTTTGTGTTTAGTTTGTTGTCCTTGCCGAGGCTCCTCCGATTTGCGCGGTTGATTCCGCGCGTTGCGAAAGAGGTTCAACAGTTCCACTGCTGCATGATTTTTTTCCGCTGGTGTTGCGATCGAGTCGTCGTGATGTATTATTTTTATTTCTCGATTTAAAGCTTTCGTGACTGCAGGAATTCATCTTATTGGTTCTTTCGGTAAAGTCACGTAGAATGGAAATAATAAAATAATAAAAATAAAACATAATAAATAATTCTCACGACGTTTCGGCCACAACGCAAGCAGCCGTCCTCAGGTGAAGAACATATCTTATCTACAGACCTGTTCTTCACCTGAGGACGGCTGCTTGCGTTGTGGCCGGAACGTCGTGAGAACTGTATTTTATTATGTTTTATTTTTATTATTTTATTATTTCCATTCTACTTGACTTTACCGAAAGAACCAAGAAGATATTTTTATTTCGTTTAATGTTTCTACCTACGTGACTTTACCGAAAGAACCAAAGAGTACAGGTTCAACGTACACACGTACATGCAATCACGTAACGTGCCCTGTGTCTCGACAGCCGGGCACACATGCAGGCCAGTCCCGCGGCCGTGGCAGGGGCCGAGGCCGGAGCCGGGGTGGTGCGACGCGCCCCGAGGGACGCGCAGGAGACGGTGCGGGCCTCACTCATCCTCGCCTCCGTCAAGGAGCAGGTGCGGGACCCCTCGCGCGCGTTGCGACCCCAGTGGGTGTGCCGACTCGTGAGTCGCAGCGCGAGCGCAACTTGTTGTTGTTGTGTGTGTTTGTTGCGGCTAAAGCACAGCAAGTTTGTATAGTAGGGGGCACAGGTGGTGCATCAGCCAGTCATCTCGGTCATCTCGATCAGTCGACCCGTGGCACCTGCTGGGTCTGCCCCGTGACCTCCTGCCAGCAGGCGTTCGACACTTCACGTGGCCTCAAGGTGCACGTGGCCTGGCACAAGCGTCGTGGTGACGTCACCGCCACTTAGTGGCGAATGGCGGTTGTTGTTGTGTGCACGGGCGTGGTGCTGGCCACCCACCCCATCGTGTGCGATGCCGGCCTTCATAGGTGCTCGCTAACAGCACTTGCCCCAACAGGCTGGTAAGGCTATACGGGGCATCTTTGTCTTGTTGTGTGTGTGTGTGACGGGTGCAGCCTGTGACTGCGTCTACGTTGTGTGTTTTGTACGGCTTGGGAGCTGCTGCTGTGTGTAGTGTGTGTTGTGTGTTATAAGTGGTATCGTGCACTTTGTGTGTTTTTGTATGTGTACGTTATGTACCGCGTGGGCACAGACTGTGTATTTGTGTGTGTTTTGTGTACGTGCTATGTACAACTTGTGGGTTGTGCCGTTTGCTGCCTGCGTCTGTCACCGTCTCCCTTCTCATGCCAGCTCATTGAAGGCGACATCACACCGCGCCTGGGCCGTCGTGCATGTCCAATATTATTATCTGATGATCGTTATTAGCCCTCGACGGAATGAGAGCGCCACACATCAACGAGCCATCAGACCATGCAGACGAGCCTCCGAATTGCTTCTAGAGCTCAACCTACCCATGGGATTACATTTATTGCTCAAAATATTGGCTTTTGGGTTGTTGTTTTTTTACTCAGTTGCAGGGCACCGGGTGCACGGCTCGAACAACGCCAAGTTGCAGCAACAAGCAGCACTGTTAAGAGATGTGATGGATAAGAGCTTCCACTTTTCGGTTTGCGCAAGCTCATTCGAGTTTGGGAAAACAGACAATGTAAAGAATGTTCTAAAGTCGATAAGGGCGAGGAAAGAAGCAGAAAGAGAAGTGGTGTGACCTGCAGTGTGGTGAGTGAGTTAAGAGGTGAGTGAGTGAGTGAGTTGTTGTGACCAGCAGTGTGGTGAGTGAGTTAAGAGGTGAGTGAGTGAGTGAGTTGTTGTGACCAGCAGTGTGGTGAGTGAGTTAAGAGGTGAGTTAGTGAGTTGTTGTTGTTGTGACCTGCAGTGTGGTGAGTGAGTTAATAGGTGAGTGAGTGAGTTGTTGTGACCTGCAGTGTGGTGAGTGAGTTAAGAGGGGAGTTAGTGAGTTGTTGTTGTTGTGACCTGCAGTGTGGTGAGTGAGTTAATAGGTGAGTGAGTTGTTGTGACCTGCAGTGTGGTGAGTGAGTTAAGAGGGGAGTGAGTTGTTGTTGTTGTTGTGACCAGCAGTGTGGTGAGTGAGTTAAGAGGTGAGTGAGTAAGTTGTTGTGACCTGCAGTGTGGTGAGTGAGTTAAGAGGGGAGTGAGTTGTTGTTGTGACCAGCAGTGTGGTGAGTGAGTTAATAGGTGAATGAGTGAGTTGTTGTGACCTGCAGTGTGGTGAGTGAGTTAAGAGGTGAGTTAGTTGTTGTTGTTGTGACCTGCAGTGTGGTGAGTGAGTTAAGAGGTGAGTGAGTTGTTGTTGTTGTGACCTGCAGTGTGGTGAGTGAGTTAAGAGGTGAGTGAGTTGTTGTTGTGGCCTGCAGTGTGGTAAATGAGTTAAGAGGTGAGTGAGTTGTTGTGACCTGCAGTGTGGTGAGTGAGTTAAGAGGTGAGTGAGTGAGTGAGTTGCTGTGACCTGCAGTTGGATGGTTGAACATTGTGGATGAAACAAAACAGTGAGTTTAGTCGACCGAGTCTCCAACATGGGTGAAGGAACAGCGAGTGCAGTTCACAGGAACAAGTTGCAGTAGCGATAGAGTGATAAGGGGTCGACTGACCACCGGTGAGCGAGTGATCGGTGTGAATCACTGGGTGCTGTAACACCAATCAACCGCCTTTACATTGAATGTTCTCAATGGATGCTGTAACACCAATCAACCGGCTTCACGTTGAATGTTCTCAAGTGCAGCGAGGTGGGAGCTGAGTGCTCCAACCCAGCTGTGATATCGCCGCAATGTGCGCTTCGTACGGCAGCAGCAGCAGTAATAATTGTTCAGAGTTCAAGACAAAGGCTGTAACACGAAGCCAGATTAATGAAACAGCCATTGCGCGGCACTAGTAATATAGCCCCCGTTCCATTGTTGTTTGAACGTTTGAATCTGCAACTTGTTCGGCTCTTAGATTAACGAGACATATCGAGTCGTACACAGAGACCACGGCCTTAGGGGCCGTCCATATATGACGTCACGCGATTTTGGACGATTTTTGACCCCCCGCCCCTCGTCACAAAAAGTCAGACCCCCCCCCCCCACAAATATGACGTCACAAAGCTCGCCCCCCCCCCAAAAAAAAAAACATTTCCATTTTTAAAATAAAGCATGCTTCAAATCGCTTTTAACTATTGTCATTGTAGTGCGTATTTAATATGGCGCTGCACTCTGATGTTGTAGGAGTGTTGTTATAACAATTAGTGTTGTTATAACAATTCTATATTTATTAAAGTCGCGCATTTTGATGTGACGTCACATTTCTCAAACATCCCCCCCCGCTCGTCACACATCGTCACAAATATCTGACCCCCCCCCCCCCCTAGCTGCGTGACGTCCTTTATGGACGGCCCCTTAGCTCACGACTCAGGAAGGCTTCTGGTGCTGCCGTGAGCGCCACGAGTGTTAACGCGGAGTTCCAGCCGGGGGTGGGGGGGGGCATCAATCAAGGAGCGCGAGTCGAGGAGTCGGGTAACAGCTTGTGCACGGTATTAGTGTACACGCGGACGCATAATTAAGTCGCGTTGGTGATGGGAATGAAGCATAGCGTGCTGATGTGCCTGAAAAAAACACATTTGAATCGGTGTGTTGCTCCCGGCTGCGGCACATGGCTCACAAACGCCGTGGTCGTGAGTGCAAAAATATGCAACAATAACTGAAAAGTGCACGAGGAACCGTGGAGAGACGCGCGCTTGGAATGACACTGGGAGGCAGAGGAGTGCACGGACGAGAGAGCATGCACAAGCAACCACGTGAACACCGGCAGCCAACGAATGGACTATCCGAGAAGGTTTCGTCCACCGAAGAGATGGAACGATGGAATCAGTTTCTGTGCCGGAGTTGGAGAGATCTTTGCACCTTATTTCACCTACGGGTTTAGTAGGTGAATAGAAGTTAATAAGTTCAACATACGTTTGCCGATTGCATCATTGCATGGTGAGCAACTCTTGGGCTTGATGTAGAAATCTCAGATCATAACCAGTCTCCTCTTGATAATTGTTTTTTTACCCTTCTATCTGGCAACAAAACTGACACCTTTTTTACTAGGAGTCATGTTTGCATAGACCACAATACCTGCAGCCATAATGCAAAAAAACACAACTTGATAATATATGCACTGTCCTTGAAGTTGATTGGTCCACACCCGAGACAGCTTTCCTTAGAGCCTAGTCTCACATGGGTTGGACCAGATGACGCCAAAAGGCGCACAACTCAAAGACAATGCACCATCAGAGTATGATAGCTCGGGGTAAGCATTTACATCATTGGAACCTCATTTGCCAGTAAAAAATATGATAATTGGCTTTTTACCCTTCTATCTGGCAACAAAACTGACACCTTTTTACAAGGAGTCATGTTTGCATAGACCACAATACCTGCAGATAGAAGGGTAAAAAAACAATTATCATATTTTTACTGGCAAATGAGGTTCCAATCTCCTCTTCTCACCACCTCCACGTGCACACGCGTACAAGGTCGTGAGACGTGGCCGCAGCTTGGGGAGACATTCATCCTGTCGTGGTGGTGACGACGAAGAAGATGGACTCTCGCACGCAACGGCGGATCGAAGCGTGGATCTCCTTTTTCAAATTGACCGACGTGAACGATGAGAGCGCCCGCTCGCCGACGCGGCGTGCGCGTGGCCTCGTTCGCCCGCGTTGTCCGCGAGCCCTGCTCGGAACGTCTGCCGCTGCTGTGGTGAAGCTGCCATCGTTGAGCACTGCCAATCATCAAATGCGTGGGCAGGGTTCCATGCTGGGACCTTCGTCGTGAGCTTGCGGCCGCGGCCACTGGCTCGGAATGATGTGCTGCTCACAACGAGCGAAACAGTAAAACCGCGGCCTGCCGGACTAACAGTGCTGACCCCCTGGTCTGGATGTCTAAAACTGCAATACCTGGCAGTACGAGTCAACAGGACAATCCCGCTACAATGAACACTACCGAGGCACTGAGGCAATGCTCATTTCCCATTTACAACTCTGGGCAAGTGGGGACAATTCCACATTCCTATGGCGGTGGGGAATCAGTCCATCCCATGGGATAACCCCGTCGACTTCCCCACCCGTGCTTTGTTGACCTCGGAGGGATGATGGTGTTCCGAGTCAGGCCCGCACCAAAGATTTTGAACTCGCAACCTTCCCAGTGCGGGCCGTTCGCCCTGCCACTGCGCCACGTGGCCGGTGGGCCACTCACTCGACGAGGGTTGCCGCGAGTTCCCGCCACGAGCAGTCTCGTCTGATCATTCCCCACAGTGCAAGCCGAGCGACGGGAATGTCACTGGCGGAGGCGTCCCTAGGGTACACGGCGACTCGGGGCGACCGGCCCGGGCCCCGCGCTTTGGGGGGGCGGGGTGGGGGTAGGTGGGGAGGAGGACCGCGCGTTTTGACGTCACGGTGGTGTCAGATGTAATTCTTCCACCCCACCTACTGACGTCCCTGGCAATTGGAGTAACGGGCAGTGGGACATAGAGAAAGAGAGAGAGGCTGCAAGGTGTCAGCAGCAATCAATCGCTCGCCGCATTACAAAGGCGCGAAGGGCGACACTCGCGACACGCGAG